GCAAAGGATGGAGATGCCTCAGGGACAAGGCTTAAGGTGGCCTTGGTTTCCTTAGAGTGCACCGGGGTTGGGGGAACCAGCTGCCCTGCTACTCATGACGTTCCTTCGTGTTTCTCTACATGTCTCTGCATTTCCCGTGTCTCTGGGTACACATGCCTCAGCATACGTGTATCTCTGACTGCATGTTTCCACATGTGTGTGGAGTGCCTGTGTGCACTGCCTCTGGATCTGCTTGCATGAGTCTTGTTTCCACAGGTGCTTGTCACTGCAGGTGCCCCTCCATACGCGTGTGGAGGTTTCTATTTTTGCACCTGTCTCTTTCGCCATGTATATCTCTGTGGGTCCCGGGCTGTGCATGTTTCTAGGTGTCTGTGTTCAGAGACAGGGTGAGGCCAGGCCCAACACTCATGCACAGAGGAGGAGGTCAGGCTTGCAGATGGTGCCACCCCAGGGAGCCTGTGTACGTGTGTGCCGATGTGTGCCTGCGTGTGCACGGAGACGCCATGAAGCTGGGTAAACACGGGTGAGAAGGTCGTGCTGACAGACGGTGCTGCCCGCCCCAGGACCCTGCAAGGCGTCTCCATCTGTCAGCTTCCCTGGTGCAGCCCCCTCCCTCTGGCCCAGACTCAGCCTGAGGCATCCAGGCTGAGCTGGACAAAGAAACCTGTGTGTGCTTTGTAGGGGCCTCTGCAGCCTCCCTCCCCCAACCATCGCAGCCAGCCTAAGCCCATCCCCTGTCCACCCCTACTGTGGCCTCATCTGTCAGGACCCCAACATTTGCCTTAGCTCCAACCAGCCTCACCTTCCTACTGGCCCCCCACCCTCCCCCTAGCCTTTATTTGGGCAGTCCCTCCCTCCCCCCAGAAATCTCTTCCTGTCTCCCATGCTCAAGGGTTTAGTACTCTTGTGACTGACTCCTCCTCCAGGAAGCCACCAAGATAGCAGGTGAGTCATGGATTTGAAGCAGCTCCACCATTGCTGTGGGTTTCAGTTTAGCCAAGTGTCTACCCCTCTCTGAGCCTTAGTCTCCCTCCACCCCCTTCCCCCCACCACACACACCCTGTCATCTTCCTCTGGCCAGTGGGGACAGCAGGGAAGGAGTTTAGACCTCCCGTTGCAGTATCTAAAGACCAGTGCAGTTTGGTGCAGGAGCCGTTAATGTACTCCTGCACACCCACCCCAAGTCATGGGCACGCACAGTGGTCTGGCGGAGAGCCTGGAAAATGTGTGTACACCTACCTGTGCGTGCAGGTGAAATCCACAGTCAGCTGTAGAGACTTAGGCTCCCTGGTACCTCTGAAGCCCCTTAAAGGCCCCATGGACTTCTCTTTCTCTCCCAAGGAACCCCTTTTCAGAGAATAGAAGGGCCTCCGCCCTAGAGGCACAGACACTGCAAATGCCTGGCTGAGCCTGTGAGGCAGGTGTAGGGAACCCCAGTTACGCGGTTGAGCGGTTGAGCGGTTGGGCGGTTGAGCGGGAAGGAAGCTGGCATGGGGGAGGTGGGGGAGCAGAGAGGTGGGGAGTTGGAGTGGAGGAACAGGGTCCCGGGAGGGGCACGCCCGCTCCACCCAGACGAGGGCCGGAGGGGCGGCAGCTGCCTGGACCAATCACGGTTGCGCGCCCGCTGGGACGCGGGCACGCGCAGCCTTCCTTCGCGAGCCCGCCTCTCGCGTTGCCATGACAATGGTTACCGAGTGGCCTGGAGGGGGAGGAGCCCTTCCCTCCACCCGCAGCCGGGGGGGACAGATTTTGAGGAGACTCGATGACCACACATCGGGGTGTGGGTGCGTGCAGCTTGTGTGCAGCGGGCTTCTGTGGAGCGCGGAGCCCTGAAGCCGTCGGAGGGCGTGGTATGTGGCAGGATGGTGGCGCTGCTCCCCGGGCCGCCCCTCCCGAGAGCCCAGGACCCAGCCCTGCCTGGGCGGGGTCCCACCCCCGGGGGTCGTCCGGCCCTACCTCAGATTTAGTGGTGTGACCTTGGGCGGGTGTCTAAGGCCCCCCCCCCCCCCCCCCCCCCCCCGTTCACTCATCTACCACATAGGGTTTTGGCAAAGATTAACTCATTTTTTTAAAGCATTTTAACTCAGTGCGTGGAACATAATAAATGCTCCATAACTGTAACTTTCTACTTCTCATATCCGAGCCTCAGTTTTCCTGATTGCTGATGGGTTTGGAGTGATCGTGTGAAGTCTGACTGAAAGACTCACCCTGGTCCTTAGCCTCAGTGCTTCGGGCTATGGTGGACCTGATCCCTGTGGGTACTGGGGGTGTGCAGGGAATAAATGTGCCGGACCAGTGGATGGGTCAGTTTACACCAGCGTGCCTAGTGCCCAGCTTGGCCAGACACACGACAGGCATCAGTAAACAGCTGCTGACCTTGGCTACATTTGAATGTGCCGGAGGCCTCCTGGGGAGCGTAGAAGGAAGAGACAGCAGCGCGGTCACTCTCGAGGGGCTGGAGTCCTCCTGTGAGACACGCTTCCCCCGCTGGAGGTGCAGAACTGCAGCCTTCCCAGTTCTGCCTAGAAGCCTAGTTGGCACAAGGGACTGGCTTTTGGGTCCCGCTGTTTTATGGACAGCTCTTCACACATGCCGGTTTTAGGCTCTGGCGGCAGTGCCTGAGGCATGATCTGAGCCAAGGACGGAGCCACTGAGGGCGCGATAATTGAGGGAGGAAAATTAATTGTCCTTAATTTGGCGTAAATCCCCAAGACCTTCCCCGTGTTAGGAATTCAGAGTAGATTCCGGGACACGGGGCTGCAGGTGTTTGCGCTTCTTCCCTTCTCCCTTGATCTACCTTGCTGGTGGAGATGGGGACCAGCCGACTCCTGGACCCGAACTCTGGCAGGCTGCTCAGAGGAACTGAGCAGGGTAGGATTCAGGACTGGCACCCTGGTGGGCTAGGGTGGCTCTCACTCTCCTGAGTGTCCCCCAGCTGCTGGGAAGGGCAAGGAGGGTGTAGGGGGCGGGCCCCTCAGGCTGGGCCTCTGCCTGGGCCTTTCTGTGAAAGCAAGTGACAGCAGACCCAAAGGAGGCTGCTTCCTGCTTGGTATTTCCCAAGTCGTGTCTTCTTGCCACTTTCCTTTTTCCTGCCACTGTTTAACATTTTCCTTTTAAAAATCAGAGCTGAAAGTCAGGACACAGTGGGATCATATTTACAGCCAAGGAGATGCTGGGTTCACATCTGGAATTTATAGGGCTGCAGATGGGGAAGTAAGCATCCTGCCAGCTACTGGGAGAGGCTGAGAAGGCAAGGCCGTGCTGGGAATCCTACTGCTCCCTAGCCTGAGACCCCCCCTCTCCTGAGGGGGCCACAGTCCCTTTGGGATGCCCCAGAGGGCATTTGGGATGCTGGAACCTTAGCAGAGCTCCTCCTGGGATCTAGCAGCAGATAGAGGGATGTTTTGCCCCTGCCTACTGGGGCTCCTCCAGCTTCCTCTCCTGCCTGCCTCCCCAGTCAGTCCCCCTGGTTCCCTGAGAGTCTAGAGGGAGAACCAGCCTTTCAAGCCTTTACTTTCTAGAATCGCTTCTGAGAATGCCATGTGCCTTTTTCCTGGCACAGGAGCCTGACCTCAGCAAGTGTCCCAACACATCCATCTTGTGCTGGGCCCAAGAGAGGAAGGTCCAGGCGGTGCTATATCCTGGTTGCTGCCACCACAGAGCCTTGCCCCTGCCCCCTGCCCCAGAGGAAGACTGACAGTGTTCCCGTCCTCTATTGGGCGTGCCTGGCGTCCACACCGACAGAGAGACTCTGCCCAGTTCTCACACACACACTCTGGTGGGGAGGACCTCTCACCAGCCCCAGGCCCTAGCCTTGGTACCTGTCTGCCCTGGTGGCTTAGCCGTTGCTAGTTATAATGATAACGTCAGCTAATATTCATTGGTGCAGATTCTGTGTCAGACACTGCCCAGCACTTATACATCATCAGATGTAGTCCTCAAGATGGGTTTACAAGGTAGGCACTTGAACCCTGTTTCCAGATAAATGGAGGCACGGAGAGGATTAGTAATGCATCCAGGTCACAGAGCTAGTTAGTGGTGGAGGTTAAGCCCCACGTGGCCTGTGCTAGTCCAGAGCCTGTGCCGCAGCCCCTCAGGGGCTGTGTGCAGAAGCCTAGGTGCAGCAGGAGTGGGGATGCGCTGATACCTGTTGCTTCCAGGGAACTGACTCTTACGTGAGTCGCCAACCCCTGGCAAGATGGGAAAAGGCAGCCAGGGAAGGGTTTTGCCTTCATCAAATTTTGGTGAACTCCTCATAGAGTTTTTTTATCTCCTTAGCCTCCACGTGCTCTGACATGGTCCCCAGGCCTGACCACGGCCCCCAGTGAGTGAGGGACGAGGGTTAGGGTCACGACTGCAGTAGAGAATGGGTCAGGGCAGGACCAGGGGTTGAGTGAGGTGAGGGGTCATTGGTAGGGCAGGGGGTACCCAGAGTCAGGTCCAGAATTCAGGCTGTGATGTGGGGCTCTGCTATGCTGTAGAGCTAGAGGCTAGATGTGAACAGTGGAGGGGACACTGCACGTGCAGAAGAGGGAATGGGGATTAGACAGCACAGGGGGCTTTTGGGCTCAGTTGTGGCTCTGGGTGCTGCCGTACGAGCTGTGGGCCACGTGCAGCCCAGCATCTGTATAGCACTTTCTGCTGTGGCCAGCAGAGCATCAATCCTTGTTTTTCCCGGGGCCCAGAGAGATAAGTGCTGACATCTCCCCTCTGAGGCATTGTTTCTCAGACCTGGAAACTCCCTGACAGGGCAGGACGGGCCCCACTGTAGCCCCTCCCCGCCCCCGCCCGAACCCCAGAGAGGGCAGGCCTGGGTAGTGGGACTCAGGACTCCCCAGTCCTTACGTGGAGCAGGCTCCACCCTTAAAAGTCAGGAATTGGGAGACAGGGGTCTTGAGGGTGCCATCCAACCTGGGAGTCAGGAGAAGCTGCCCACAGCAGAGGGTTCTAGAGGGCAGGCAGTGCCAGCCCTAACTCACATGTCTGTCCTTTGTCTGCAGAGGAACAGCTGCCCTCTGGCTTCCCTTCCATCGACATGGGGCCTCAGCTGAAGGTGGTGGAGAAGGCACGCACAGCCACCATGCTGTGTGCAGCAGGCGGGAATCCAGATCCAGAGATCTCTTGGTTCAAGGACTTCCTCCCTGTGGACCCTGCCACGAGCAATGGCCGCATCAAGCAGCTGCGTTCAGGTGAGCAGAGGGTGAGGGACAAGGGGCCGCACAGACTTTAGGAAAGGTGTCCAGCTGAAACTAAGCACAGCCTTCCCTCTTGGGCCTGGATACCTGGGAGCCACAGGAGGTCTCAGCCTGGGGCCGACCTTCTGGAGCCATGCAGAGGGCATCCACTGGGCAGGCCAGATCTTGGTACAGGCCCACCTGGCCCAGGAAAGAGCTGGACAGCGAGGTCTAGTCATCGGTGATTCTTTTACCTTCCTGGGATCATCAGAGTCTAGACTTTGGTCCATCCTGGCTCCTTGCAGCATGAGTGATGTGCCCCAGCATGGCGTTGGGCTCTGCAGGGGTGCTCTATGGGCGTTCGTCCTCTATTTTTCCTATAGCCTGGCCTGCGAGGGGGCCTTCGTGATGCTTCTCCTTACTTCTCCAGGCAGCAGTTTTGGCCAAGAAAAGAGGCCAAAGATGCTTTATGCATCAGGCTTCAAAAGGCTGGACCTCAGGAGCTTAGAGCCAGGAGGACTTGCTGCCATCCCTTGGCCACCAGGGCCACCTGTCTCCTCTGGATATCTCAGTCGAGCCAGCTCGGAGGCCCGGGAGCAAGGATGCCGTCATGACCAGGCAGGAGGTGTCGCCCCGTTGATCGATCCACCTCTGAGGCTCCCGCCAGGATAATTGATTCAGTTTTTGTGGGAACGGCACAGGCGGGAAAGGAGGCTCAGAATCAGCTTAGCTGCGTTCTGCATTTGCCGCCAGCAAGGGCTGGACCGATAGACCTTGGTCCAGAAACTCCTGCTAGCTGCAGGCCAGTGGGCTCAGGCAAGATGGCCGGCACCAACCAGAGCCCCTGCTGCCCGTCAGCTGTGATGTCAACACTGCAAAGGAGGACGTGACTCTAACCCTTTCAGGGCCCTGCAGGCTTTAGAGGTGCCCCTGGCACTCTCTGGGGTTCCAGCCCCTCCCTGCTACCTCCCATCAGGTAGACACCCCTGCAGTGCCCAGGGGAGGAGGGAGGGATGAGCTGCCCAGCAGGGCAGGATTCAGGCCCTAGCCATGGCCGCCTGAGACGGCCTACGAAGTGTTAGCTCATTTAATTTAATTAAAACTCAACAAGATGGAGGCAGCTGTAACGCAGTTAATTAAAACAGCCATAATCAAGGCAGGAAATGGTCCGGTAGCATTTGCAGCCGCTGCCCAGCGCTGCCCAGTGGCCGGCATGGTTCGGCTCCTCTGCATTTCCCCACAGTCCGCCCAGGCAGGCTCCCCAAACAGGCAGATGGTCCTCCCTGCAAGCCTGGCCTCCACCCCAGAATGGCACTGACTGCCCGTGGCAGCAATTCTGGGAAGGCACACTGTCTTGCGTGCTTGTTCATCAAGTATTTATGCAGTGCTTACTGTATGCCAGGCCCTGTGCCACCCATCCACTGCCCAGTGAGTCGGCGCCTGCCCGTTACTCCACTGGCTGCTGCTCCTCCCCTCTCCCTGGCTTCCCTCTCACTCCTGTCTTCCCGGAGGCCTCACCTTCCCCTGCTCCTTCCTCCAGCCGGGGAGCCCTTGTCACCCTCCCCTTGCCCCATGGGCAGGGCCTTCCCCTAGGCCAGCTCACCCGCTCCTGCAGCTTCAGGTCGCCTCTCCACTCCTGCATGCCTAGGTCTGTCTCTCCAACACCACACAGCTTACCTGAGTTTTAGACTAAAAAAACCTATCTGCCTTGTTAGTGTCACCCTGGCCGCCATGAGTGGTGACTTCCTTCCCAAACAGCCACACCCTTCTCCCCCACCCTGACCCTCTCCCGGCAAGTGGCAGCCCCCTCAGCCCGAAACCTGGGACACACCCCGACTCTTCCATTGAGGAAGAATCAAATCTTCTCATCACCCACATGGTTCTCATGTTGGACCCCTCTTTTTCCTTCTGCTGCCTCGGTCATATCGCAGTGCCGAGCACTGCCCTCCCTGCCTCCAGGCTCCACCCGGGAATCTGTCCCCCAGCAGCTGTCAGTTTTCCCCTTGGTGCCTCCATGTTCCGACAACCGCAGTGGCCTCTCACTGCCCGAGTGGCCAGGCACCTGTTCCCGAACAAGGCACACGGAACCCCTCTCGATCTTCCCAGCTCACATCTCCAGCTTTACCTCCTCCATCTCAGCTACCCAACTTAGCAGTTCTGTTAAGTCCTTTAACTGCTCTGAGCTTCTGTTTTCTCACCATTAAAAAGGAGTGACAGTAAGCACTAAGTGAGACGACAGCAGTGGAAACTGTAGTTTGCTGCCTCGGGTACTGGGAGGGCTCCGTGAACCGGGCTCTTGTTACCGGTGGCCACTCCCCACTTGCCCTGAACCACCCTGACCCCATCCTTGCCCTCTGCTCTAATTCACCAGATCATGAAGCCTCTCCCACCTCTGCCTAAGTAAGGCCTACTCCTTCAGGACGCACCCGCCCTGTGTTGTTACTGCCTGGCTCTTGTTCTGCTCACTTAGGCTAGGTGCCACTTGCAGGGAGGGCCTGGGTCTGGCTCCCTGCCGTGCAAGGTCTCCCCCAGCTCCTAGCACAAACCCACCTGTAGGATAGGTATCTCTGAGCCCTTGTTGATAAATTATTTCATGAACATGACCTTTGGGCCCTGTTCCTGCAGACCAATGTCCACCTCTCCTGCTTCTTAGCTCTGAGGAAGACCTCGTTTGACCTTTACTGCCACCTGGAAGCCGTCACCTGGAGGGTTGTGGACCCAGGGTCCAGTTCCTAGGATGACACCCTTGGGGTCTCAATCCCCCCACCTCTGTAGTGACAGACAGGATTCTTTCCCCCATTGCTTCCTGGCCCTCCACTCCAGTCACTACTGCCCCTGTCCTGTTACCACTTAAAAGGGTGCCCTGCACATGTGACAGGGATATCCCTTCAGTGGAGTGGAATCAGGCCCCCAAGCACTCAGCCGTTTACAGGGACCGTCACAGTTTACGCATCGCCGACAGATCACAAAGTATTTTCCTGCCTTTTGTTGCATTTGATTCTCCCCAAGCCTGAGAAGTAGGACAGGCTGTGATTATCATGCCCACTTTACAGCTGACTTAGGGGAGTCACTTGGGGTCACACGTGGAGATCCAGAGCCAGGGAGCCCCCCTGTGCAGTCACCCAGAGGCCTTCTAGTATCGCATACACCAAATCTGGGACCTGGGGAGTGGCTGGACACTGCGGGCCCTCCAGAGTTCCACGGCCCCATCCTCTCCAGAGCTCAGGCCCTCCCTGACCGGTCCCCAGAACTTGTCAGGCACCTGCAGGCTGCACTACAGCACATGTCACGGGGCATGGCCCCGGAACAGGAGCTGGAGAGGAAGGCAGCTGGTGTGAGCCTTACTCACGTGTGACCTCTGCTCCACGGGCGCTTTCCTTACTGAAGTGACATGACGTGCTGACATAGGAGCCTGTTGGGAATTTGAACTCGAGGCCCATGGTGGACCCAGGAGGAACGGAGACAAGTTCAGGGAGAATGGAAATCAAGTCAGGAGCAGATGGTGTCACTGGAGCAGCTAGCAGGGGCCAGTCTCCAAGTGGGGTTCAGAGCCACTGCCGGGTCCTGAAAGGAGCTGGTGGCCCACACGCTCTGCCAAGCCTGGACAGGGCGTCAAGGAGACCTCCCGTGCTCTGCTCAGTGGCCTGAATGTGCAAGCCGCCATCTCATCACCGTCGAGGACAACCTGATCCACACAGCTACGTTCTCACCCAGAGCACAGCCTCCTTCCACACCCTCTGAAACCTGAGCTGAGACTACAGGGCCTGAGCATAGATGCCAGCATCTGGCTGCAGGCGGAGGCCCACCGGCTCTGGCAGATAGGACCCAGAGCCAAGGGCGGAGCAGGCTTCATTCAGGGTGGGCCTGACGCCTGCAGTCCCCTACTCTGCTGGCTGGCCCAGCTCTGACCAGAAGAGCCTGCCCCCCAACCCTCTTCACCCATCAGGGTCTGGGTCTGTCAGGCGGGGACACTGGCGGTGCATGGTCATGATTTCCCTTTGGCCTGAGCACACTGGCACCTCTCGGGAGCAATGCAGACTCCTGGGTCCCTGCCAGTCTCCCACACCCACCTTGTGAAATGGTAAGGCAAATTCTTCTTTCAGTTGGTAGAGAAATGACTCTTCCGAGAGGTCCAGAGACTCGTCACACAGCAGGTTAGGTTTGGGGAGAGCAGAGGCCAGAAGCTAGGGGTCCGAGTCCTGGGCCATTTACACAGCCACCCCCTGCCATGTCCAGCAAGCACTGTAGAAGTAGATCAGTGGCTGTTGACTTTTTCGTCTTAGCACCTCCGATTGTAAATATTAGAGAATCTCAAGGAGCTTTCGTTTCTGGAGGTTTTTCCTGTCAGCATTTATCATATTAGATATTAAGACTGAAAAGGTTTTAAATATTTAAACTTTAAAATTATTTTTAAAAAAAACCATTATATGTTAAATGATATGTTTTCATGAAAAATAATTATGTTTCCTCAAGCAAACATTTCATGAGTACAGTGGCATTGTTTTACACTTTAACAAATCTCTTTAATTTGGGGCTTGATCGAAGATGGTCACTGGATTCTCACATCTGCTTCCACATTTGCTCTGTTGCAGTATCACACTTCACGGAGCTTCTGGAAAACTCCACTCTATAGTCACAAGACAACAAAAGTGAAAAATGCAAATAACTTCTTAGTATCATGAAAATAGTTTTGACCTTGTGGACCCTCTGAAAGGGTCTCAGGGCCACTAAAGGTCCCCTGGACCATGCCTGGAGGATCACTGTGATGATGGTTCTTCCCAGTCTCTCTGCAGCCCCTCACACCCCCAGCCCAGGTCCCAGCAGCTGCCTTTACCTTCCCTCCAGCCTCTGTATCTGCAGTGGGGAGGCTGTGCACCAGACCTGATTAGTTCCTGCGACCTCACTTACAGGCCATGTGACCTTGGGCTTTGGGCAAGTCACTTGCTGTTCCTCAGTTTGTTTCATCTTTCCCGTGTGAACATGGATAATTCCTCCTAGGCAGTTGTCATCGAGTTTAATGAGAGAGTAATCAGTGTTTGATTTGTCTTTTGGCATATTTCCCTCCCGTAGCAATGGGCAGAGAGGGTCAGGGTGGACAGCCCTGGGCCCAGGCTCGCCCGGAGGCTGCTCACTCCTCTGGATGAGGCAGAGGTAGAAGATGGGGCCCGAACACAGCCTCAGAGGAGGCACCTGCTGGGAAGGCAGCTGTTCAGACCTCGTAACCACCCTGCACCAGGCATTTGGAGGTGTGCGTCTGGCCCCCTGGGCTTGAAGCACTGAACAGGCAGGGAGGGGACACCGGCCTCTGGCTCTCACCAGTCAGGTTGGGGGTAAACTCAATAGTTACTCGCTTTTTAGCAGGGTCGAGTGGGCTGTAGAAGGCGTTTGCTACTGGGGTGTAAGTTCACGCCAAGTCCCATGGTGGGGCTTGGCTGGTATGTCTGCTTTGCTTGAGGGAAACCTGGCCTGGTGGTGGTGGCCTATGGCAGGCCCTCCCTTTAGCCCTTTCTGTGTGCTTAACCTCCTTGGTTGCTTTTGGTAAGTGCTTTGTTTTGAAATCTTACCCACCTGTGAAATTTAGGTGCCCTTAAGGAGTGGGGTTGCTACTACTTTTATTCACTTTTCCCCTCGTTGGCTTCAGCCAGCTGGGTCTGCAGGAGCCCTGATTCCACCTTCCTGAGTCCCATCACCTCCAGCCCCGATATCCCCGGCCCCACCCTCCCTCACCTCCTCAGAGCAGTGCCAGTGACCCGGGGGACACAGCTTCACCCGCACTCAGCCTGGCTCAGCCTGGTGCCTGCGCACTTGTCACCTGCGTCGGCCTAACTCGGGCCTCGATTTCTCCGTGTATTTAAGGCCCTTTCTCATGTTTTATTTTATCTGGTTTGGCTTTTTGTGGCTTTCCTTCCTTTTGTACTAATGCTTCTCTCTGATCTTATTTGCATTCAAATTACCTCGCCAGGTGGTTCACCAATCAGAGGTAAGAATGCTGTCCGTGCATCTCGCCACGCCACGCCACGCCACTGCTGTCACCACCACTCCATCCCGTCCAGTCCGTCACCTCCCCCATGCCCATCCCGACCTCTCCAGCCTCCTCATCTCCAGCTCCGGTCCCCTCAGCACCACCGGCCACCACACACCTCCACTCTTGGTCATTCCCTCCTGTGGACTCATCCATTGCAAGTCTGGACTGTAGAAATAACTCCACTGAGCCCTGCCTCGGGGATGGCAAGCCCTGCTTCCTGGGCCTTCCAGGCCAACCCCACAGAAGGGACCCTGTCAGCTCCCACAGCGAAGCCAAGTGCTGATCCCCAAGCCCGGTCACAGATGGAGAGTCTTCCCAGGAAGTGGGGCAGCGTGACCAGGCCTTGCCTTGCCTTGCCTCCCAAGAAGCTCCTTTTTCTTGGGGCCCTCAATGACTGCTTGACTTCCTTTTAACCTCCTGGCCCTAGGACAGGGTGAGGACCATCCTGTAAATCCCATTAGCTCAGCACACGCTAGGAGGAACATGCAGTGAAGACTTTAGTGTAGGTGCTGCAGTAACACAGAATAACCAGGGTCTGCTGTGACCAGATCAAATGACCTGCCAGCCCCGGCTGCTTCCAGAGCCCCGCAGCCTGGGGCTTCAGAAATCAGACTCTGGACTCAGAGATCTGGGTGCGAGTTTGACTCACCTGTGTGACCTTCAGAAAATCAATCCATCTCTCAGAAGTCTGCTTCCTCATCTTTAAATCGGGGCCAGGGCCCACCTCAGGGCTCATGAGATTTAGAGGAGGAGACAGGGGTCTGGGCGGTGTCTGGCTTGGAGCAGCCATGCTGTAAAATGGTTGCTTCTGCACTGATTTTATTCACTTCATCCCTTCACACGTCTCTCAGCATCCTCGGGTACCTCTAGACCCCTCAGTCCAGGGCCAGGGTGGTCTCAGGACGGAAGCTGGGCTGAGGAACAGCTGCCTCCCTGTGGGGCGTCTTGTCCATCACCCTCCAAGGACAGGACTGACCCTGCAGACCCCCCACCCGTCCTCTCAGCCTGTACCAGTTCTTCATGTCCCTGCCGCTGGGGCTTGGTGTTGACTCCAGGTTTGGGAGTTTCTGTGTGTATATAGGCTCGGGGTCTGAACTGGGTCCCCTGACCAGTCCTGTTTCTCAGCACGGAGGCCGGGGGGGGGGGGGGAAGCCTCCTCCCCCAGCAGGGGTCCCACCCAGGCACTATTTCTTGTCCCTGCCTGTGGCATCAGCCACTGTTTCTCCCCTCGCTCCCCAGCTGAGCCGACCCAGTGCAGCACCCCCACCCCCACCCCACCACTAGCCAGGGGCCTGACCCCACCTGCTCAAATGAACGTTTTCTGTAACAACGTCCATCCATCCCATACACATGACCTGTTGAGTGCCCGACAGGGCTGTTCTTGGAGGAGATGGGTATTTGGCATGTGCGCTGGGCCCTCATGCTCGTGCTGCCTGACGCCCAGTGGGGAGGGCTGAGGCTAGGACCAGGGAGCAGGCCAGCCCTTTGTCCTGCATCGGGGTTGAGCCTTCGCAGCCTCTTCCCCCACCTCCAGCGCCCAGCCCCCTGCATATTCAGGGCCCCTCCTGCTGCCCTGGGCCTGGGTGGTGGGAGAGGGGTGTCAGGCAGTGAAGAGGCCGCAGCCAGGACCCGTGGGGGTCCTCCCCTGGGGGCTGGGCCACTAGAGTGTGATGTGGAACTCTTCCTGTGGCCCCTGACCAGTCCAGTCAGGTGGGGTCCCGCAGGTTCTGTCTGTGTCCTGTGTGGGTGTGGTGACCATCAACCAGCCTCCCCTGGGAAGGGTGGGGCTGTCAGGGTCACCCTGGCTGTTCCATGCAGGCGACGGTTTTCTGTCAGGCTGTGTGCTATGGGGTTAAGTGTCCGTTGGGCTGTCCTGTGTGGGTTTGATTGTCTGTCGGTTTGTTCCAGGGAGGGGGTGTTGCCTGTGCCTCGGGGTGTTACTGTCACAGACAGCTTTCTGGTGTGCGCTCATGAACAGTGTTTTTCCAGTGTTTACTGCCAGAGCTGGGGGGTGGCCAAGTCAAGTGGTTACACCTGCCACCTGCCCTCTGCCTTGGGCTCCCCTACCTGTACCTGCCACAACTGGACCTCTGTGAGGGTCCTTTTCAGCTGCCCGCCCCGTCCCCCCCTCCCCGCCCCCCACCGAATCCTGGCTCCTGTCTGTCCGTCTGCGGCCGGAGCAGCCCCTCAGGGCACTGGCCCGAGTGGGAGCTACAGCCTCCATTAGCCTCCTGAATTATGCAGCAGCCGTGGTGGGTCGAAGCACTTTAGCAGGACCAGGCTGAGGAGAGGAGCCGGAATGGGTGGGGCCAGTGGGGTGGGGATGGGGTGGGAGGAGAGGATGGGTGCTGTGAGCAGGGCACCAGGCCCCCAGAGCAAGCCCCTTCCTTCCTGCGGACTTCTGGCGGGCGGTGGATTCTCAGGCTCTTGCCCAGTGAGAGCCGTTGCATGCTTGCAGCTCCCAGGACCCCAGGTATACAGGCTGCTCCCACCTATGCCTGGCTCCGCGTTGCCTGGCAGGCCCGGTAGGTCTGGGAGCACTAATGGGGATGCTCACTGGCAAACGGGCTGTAGTGCTGGACACTCCAGGGCGGTAGGGGGTGTGATGGAGCCCCTGGCCCAGCCCACAGGCCCTACTAGACTGCAGGGCAGGACAAGCAGGATTGTGTTCCAGAGTGTGACCCTTGCTTCCAGCCGGGAGGCCAGTGGGCTCATCAGGCAGAGCTTCCTGGAAGCAACACTGGTGCCCAGGCGTGGCCCCGATTTTTGCAACATCTCGTCAACACGAGCCCAAATGCTGTCAAAGCCCCCTCCCCGTGTTCCAGGCCTGACCTCTGTCGCTGTGTCCCCACAGGTGCCTTGCAGATTGAGAGCAGTGAGGAGTCGGACCAAGGCAAGTACGAGTGTGTGGCGACCAACTCTAAAGGCACACGCTACTCGGCCCCCGCCAACCTGTATGTGCGAGGTAAGCATGCAGGCAGAGCCCAGCCCTGTCTCTGCGGAGCTGAACTGGCCCTGCTGGGCACGTTGTCCGGAGCCCTTGGTGTGGACGGTGGGGGCTGCCGTGGGCCCAGTCTCTCCTTTCCTACCGCTTTCTGCCGCAGCAAGAACAGCCGTCACAGCGCTCCCACTGGGCAGACTCCCTATGTCTACCGCTACTTTTCCTTCCTTCTCTGCAGGCCCTCTGGGAGGCAGCCGCTCTTGGGAGCATTTGTATCTCTTGTAGGTCCTGCCACGTGGGCCCAGAGCCCCACGGGAGTCTCGAGCCTTCCAAGCAGACTTCTCACTGTCAGTGTGTGTGTGTGTGTGTGTGTGTGTGTGTGTGCGTGTGCACAGATGAGCATACATGATTGTGTGTAAACATGGGCATACCGGCCCAGTATTCCTCGAGTCTGTCCTGCCTACCCCAGCTGGCGGGAGGCGAAGGGGGGCGGGGGGACCTCCAGGCCAGGTGAACCTGCCCCTCTGGAGGCCAGGTCTGCCCAGGGCCTTCCTGGAGGAAGAGCCGGCTGTGCTCTGTCACCAGCCAGGACCCTTGTAGAGAGGGTCAGTCTGAGGTAGTTGTGAGCCCCTGTAGGTGAGCACCTACTGTGTTTCAGGTGTTTCTTGCTGGGACTTAATGGATTGTGCATTTTCACAAGTCCAGATACCCAGCAGAGAGGGCTTGGGGACTGTTTTGGAGTGTCCAGTGTCTGCTCTGCTCACAGCCCAAGGGTGACCAAAGCCGGCCACCTGCTCCTTCTTGAGGACACCCAGGGTCTGGTGTGCATAGTGCCCAGCAGGGACCCTGCTTCTCCTCCCACATCCCCTCACTTAGCCCTCCCGCACAGATGGACATCATTACAAGTGAAACTGTCTCCACTCAGGGGATTTGAAAAGGAAAGTGGACGCGGCTTCCTTGCAGTGATGACTTCATCATGCTAAGTGCTTAGGGCCACTTCTTGAGGGGGTCATCTGCCTGTCTGCCCAGGCCCTGTCAACGGCCTGTCCCACTCTTTGGGGCCACATGGTCAGAAAGGGCAAGGAAAATCAGGCCTTCAACCATATAGTTATGGAGGAGCTGCTCTGTGTTAGGGCACAGGTTCCCAAGAGGCCCAGCCTGCCAGCCCACTGGGTGACAGGCAAATTGTGCTTTAGAGACCATGGAACTATCTTCATCAGAGTTGGGGGTGTGGGGTGGGAGGTCCCCACTCAGCCCCCTTGTCAGGTGCCCTCATCAAGGCACGCCTAAGTGGACCCAGGGCCTATCTTAAAGAACAGCATCAAAGCAGAGAGGCCAGGTGCCTGAGAGCCACCCACAAGGCCAAGAGAGTGGAGTTGTGAGGTGCACAGCCCTTCCCCACACGGCTGCAGCCAGAGCTTCTGACTGGCACACAAGGGGTCTGACAAGTCCCCTCCTAGAGAGGAGCAGCTGGAACAGCCCTTGGTGCCTCCTCCCACCTGGACTGTCCATTCCAAGTGCTCTGCGGTCCTGACTGAACACTTCTTCCAAAAGATCATCGGGTCCAGAGTGGCTGCATCAGGGAGAGGAGAGGCCCAGCAGAGCCACTGAGAAACCCTTGCTGCCTGGGTATGGGCTGGTCCTATGGGCACATTTCCTGGAGCAGAGCTGCAGGAGGTCTTACTGAAGCAGGAAAAGGCCCAGACATAGGTGATGGACCCTGCATTGTTATCTTGACTGGGTGGTAGTCCCTGAAGTCACCGTCACACTGGCCTCAGCCCTGAGGCGAGGCGGTGGGTCTCTTTGGAGATGAAGAGAGTTCAGCCACCGTAGCTGCCAGCCGGGCACTAACCAGGGAACTCTTACCTCCAGCCACACAAGGTCCTCAGGCAGGACCCTGCCATGGTCCATCCCCCCTTCCCACCAAGTCTTCCTAAATCACCTTTCTGGCCAATACCCACAAAGTCTTTGGGGCAGGGAGTGTGGGAGTTTCTTTAGTTCAGCCCCACTTGCCAGGGACCCTAAGGCAGGCCATCCCAACCTGGCTCTGTCTTTTCCTCCCTCACACACATGTTCCTGTAGGCCCTGATATGTAAGGTTCAGCCCTAAGTTTCTGTCCCCAAGACCTGACTTATACCCAGGCCCCACCTGAACCTGTACCTGCCCTGTTTGGTCAAAAGCAATTTGCCCCGTAGCCCCAGGACTTGTAATGAGACTTGTAGACACCTGGAAAACCTGCTCCTAGGACTTTTGCTTCCCATGTCCCCACTGCTCCTCATCTCTGTCCTGGTAAAGCCCCTGCTTTCCACCCCCAGCAGTGCAGAGGGCCCATCAGCCCCAGCTCCTCTGAGACTGCCTCTCCTGTGCTGGCCACCAGCTCTATCCTGAACCCTGCTTGTGAGTGCGCCGCCCATGGAGAAATCCCCCAGTGCCTGCCTGCTGCCAGCAGAGCAGCTGTGAGGTCTCCTTCCAGCGCAGGCACCTGGGGCCCCTCCAGGCCAGTGGGCTCCAGCTGTCGGGAGCCTCGGCATCCGGGTTGGTGTGGACTCTAGCCCAGGTTTCTCAACCTCAGCATAGTTGATACTTGCAGCTGCATGACTCAGTTATGTGGGGCTATCCTGGACATTGTATGATGTCTAGCAGCACCTCTGGCCCCCTAGATGCCAGCAGTACCCCCTAGCCATGACAATCCACAACCTCTCCAGACCTTGCCCAGTGTCGCCTGGGGGGACCCTACCTGCTGGGAACCACTACAGTAGATAGACGGCCTCCCTGCCAGCATTCACCTCCCTCCATCTCTCTTCTCCCGCTGTGTCCACTGGGCTCGAGGCCACATCTCCTCCTTGGATTTGTTTTCGGTGCCTTGCATCTCCTCTGTCCTCCAAACTCTCAGGGCTCTGCTCTCTGTCTGAGCCCCTGCAGCCGCTGCATTTAATGGGACAGCATGTGTGAAGCTCCCGGCACAGTGGCAGGCACATGGGAAGTGCTTGGTGGCCAGTGACCCCTGCTGCTGTCGAGATAGCTGTTGGGGATGCGTCATCCAGTTACACGTGCCTTTGCTCACGGTTGCCCACAGCTCCACCCACAGTCCAGCGGGCCCAGGCAGGCTGGGTGGACCAGCCTTTCTGTGTCACCATACGTCTTTGTCTCCGAGTGACTCACACTCTCCTTCCATCCACAGCGTTTCTCTCCTCCAGCTCTCAGGACACAGAGCTGCCAGGGGCCAGGGTGTGGCCACGCCCAACCTTCCCCCTTCTCTTCAGGGAGCTGGCCGCTGGCCACAGCTGAGTCTCAACAGGGCAGTGTCTCTACAGCCTTTCTCCCCATAGGTGTCCATACCAGCTCCTCAAGCTGGTGCTGTGCAGTGTGGGGCTTCCTGAAGGTGGTGGGAATCTAGCAGCCCGTGTGCCTTGGTGCGTTTGTGGGCTGGGTGGGCCCCGACCCCAGAGCCCAGCTCACTGGGTCTGTCGAGCCATGGGGTGTGTGTGAGGCATGGGGGCCGCCTGTGCTCCCCTTTCACCCCGCCCTGTCCCACCCTTGGCGCCCCAGCACCTGCCAGTGGGACCCAGCCCTGTCCACCATGTCCTCCATGAGTCCTGAGTCTTTCGTGAGCGGCGTGGTCCGCGTGCACCTGCGTGCACGTGCGTGTGCGTGGGGCACAAGAGTCTTGTCTTGTTTCCGTGCTGTGTGGGCAGTTGAAGGTTGGCCTGTTTTTACTCTCTCTGTGTTTCTCCTTGTCTTTTTTTTATTCCCTCCTCATCCTCATCGCACTCTGCCATCAACCCAAATTCTCATCTCTCAGATCAGCGAGAAGGTTGGTCCTTTTCACTTCTTATCCATCTGCAGTTCGCCCGTCGATGGGATGCTCCCGTCAGTATGGCCCAGAGGGCTCGGTCAGCTCCCTCAGGCTCGCTCCAGCCAGGCCTGCCCGCCAGTCGGGCTCTGCTCTCTGCTGTTTGGGCCGGCAGGCCGGCAGGACCAGGGGTGGGCGGGCTGGCCCCCTGCCCTGCATGTTTGTGCCGCTTGGGTCCCTGATGTGCCACGTGCTGCATGTCCCCTTAGCTAGGCTCCCCTGCTGGGGCGGTCAGGCAGGCATGGTGCATGACACGAAACTGTGCCCCCCTTTGTGCCTGGGCCGGGCCAGCTCTCTGTTCCAGGTGGGGCTCAGGAGTGGTTGGGGGAGCTGAGAGCAGTAGAGCCTTACGTGCGCCTGTGGGGCCTTTCTCCACAACCGTATCACCTAAACTCCACCTTTGCCCGAGCTCAGCTGCAGCCACTGGAAAGACGAAGGGAAAAGGCTAATGTAGAATGAGCTCACCCCACAAAGTCCTGCGGGTCTGCCCTGACCTTGAGGTTCCCACCAAGCCCCGATGGGCCTCGTGAAGTTTGGTGTCCATGGCACAGGTGGGTGGCATCATCTTGGGCACGAAGGAAATCTACACTCTTGTCTTTAACCCCTTTCCAATCAGAGCTGAATGAAGATCTTCCCACCTGCCTCAGCCCCTTTGCCCAGGCCCTCCCAGCCCTCTGGTGTTTCCTCAGGCCTGTGCTGGGCACTGAGCATTCAGATTCAGGGAGCTCACACCTGACCGAACAGTTGACTGCAACTTGGTAAGGCCCACGTGGGAGCCAGAAGAGGCCCCAGCCCAGCCACAGGTTGGGAAGGGCTCCGCAGAGACCCTGCTCCAGCCCATTCCAGAACATTCTCACATGGGGCTCTGTTCTCAGCCCCACCCTCAGGGCCAGACCTCTACTGCTAGCCTTGGGGCCAGCAGCAGAGGCTGGCACTCATTCCTGTGTCACATGATCTCAGTGGTCAGAGGAGACTCACCCGTCCACTGGGCTTTAGGCTGAGCCCCAGGGAGCAGACTCCGACCACCTGGTCCCCTTTCCTCCGTGAGGGAGAAGAGAGTCAGTCGGGAGGAGGGCTGAGGCCCCAGCTCAGATATCAGCCCTGAGCATCCGTCCATATGCGCTCCTGAGCTCTGGGGCATTTTGGTTACACCATTTTGCTGACCAGGCGGATCTGCCGGGGCGTCCAGAAAGCAGTCATCAGCAGACAGCCCAGCCTGCCTGCGGCTGCCTCCCCCTACACCCATTCCCCCACCATCCTGGTCCCACATCCCTTTTCTGTCTCTCCCTCTGTGGTCCCACCAAAAATAAGCACGTATACAAATATTTAACGGGAAAGCAGAAATGAGTTTCTAAATATTCCAGGGGGATTTGCCGGGCTGGTAATTTGTTTGGCGCTGATAATTACATCTTACATTTTTCCAGCTTTACTTAAAACTGTGTGCCGAGTGCGCCGGCATTTAATTACTGCTCTGCGGCAGCCACAAGGTTATTTATTAAAGAGTTATTTTATCTTGATACAGTGGATCCTGCCCCTCATCCCCTCCTTAATGTTGTGTTATTTTCATCAGAGAAATTTCTGTGAGTGAATGCAGATTGCGGGGCTGCCTCCCCCTGCGATTAGGCTGTCACTCCACTGAATGCTGATGCCTCCGGGCGCCACACCGCCCTATTATAGGGGGTTGTCAGCGCAAATAATTAGACTTAAAAGTTACAGCTGAAATATAATCCAGACATGGCAGAGCCCTGTTTTGGAAATTGTCTATAAAATGTCAGCAGTAAAGATGCACGGGGAACAGTAATAGACCGGCATTGTTGGAGCCCAAGATTAGACCTAAGTGCATTTTTCCTGGCTCTGGCTTTTTTCTTCCCTGCTGTTGCTCTGTCAATAGACTGAGTCCAGGGCAAGTTCTGCCCCTTTTGGAGGCCTTGTGTCTGGGACGGTGGGAGGAGTGACCATGGGGCTGCTGCAGGGAGGCGCCGGCCACTCCTGGCTGTTAGGGCGGAGGTGGCTGTCCAGGCAGGTCCAGGGTGCAGGGCCCCACTGGCACTCGGGATCCCAGGAGGCCACCTCTTACCTCTCTTGCCCCCACCCTCCCTCTGCAGACATACCCTAACCTCCCTCACACTGCAGGGAAGATGAGCCTGAGCTTTGGGAAGTCTCGCTCCAGAGCTCCTTGTGTGTGCCCGAAACCCGGTGCTCCGGCAAAGTCAAGGGTGCATCCCTAGCAGCCTCTGGGCTTGAGACCCTTGCCCGGGTGCTAGGGATGATCCTAAGGGTCACATCTGACCTCATCCTTAGTCCCCGCAATGTTCTGTCTTCCACCTGCAGGTAGGAGGGGAAAAATACAAGGGAAAACAAAACTATTCTCAACGTTTATTCTGAAGGGCCTCCACTTCCTGACAGTGGAACAGAAGACCTTGTCCTCCCAGGACTATTTGGAGTACAGTCCTGCACTTTCTACACTGCTTTCTATACTGCTTAGGTCGGGACCCAAGGTTTATTGGCCAAGGACCTACTTCCTTTCCCTGGGGCTCTTTGTTTTTATGTCCCGGGACTAATCAGGCCCCAAGATTCCACCACTGACCAGGGTCAAGCTTGCAGCCATGGTGTCCCCTGGCACAGGCTTTCCAAGTCCCATCCTTCTTTTGTATGTTTGTTTGTTTATTCTTGAGAGAGACAGAGTGTGAGGGGGGACGGGGCAGAGAGAGAGACATGGAATCCAAAGCAGGCTCCAGGCTCTGAGCTGTCAGCACAGAGCCTGACACGGGGCTCAAACTCACAAGCCGTGAGATCATGACCTGAGCTGAAGTCAGACACCCAAACGACTGAGCCACCCAGGCGCCCCAGCAAAATCCCATCCTTCTGCCAACTGGAGAATATCTTCTGCCAGCCCTGGCTGTCCAGAAGCTTCTCCCTAGAGCCTTCCAGTTGTCTTTTTTAAGACTTATCAGCCAGGGCTCAAAAGGGTGTGAGCTTTTCATCACACAGACGATCTCCTGGTAATACGTAAATTCGGGCATGGCACTTAGAAGGATCAGTCTTAAGTCGGTTCTCTTGTCTGTAATTGGGAGGTGATAGCATCTCTAGCAAGGAAGCCTTCAGCACGTAATAGATATTCAAGAGCGGTTTCCCTTCCCCGAGCTTCTTTCGGTGCCCATGAACGAGGAGGACATGGGCTGAGAATAAAGACCTGATCAGTTAAGAATGCTCCCCTGTGCCTGTCCGCCCAAGCCAGGACTGTGCTGGACCCCTTCCTTCGTCAGCAGGCCCGGGCCTGGTCTGCAAATAGACCTGCCTGCCCGTACCTCTCCTCCCACTGCCAGCCCCCCAGGCCCAACCCCGGAGCTCAGGGAGGGCCCGCAGCACCAGGCTGGGCAGTGCTTCTGTCTGTGCATCCCAGTCTCACTCTGGTATCATTCGAGGGAGTGAGTGCTCAAAGGGCGCTCCTGTGGGTCCCTCCTGCCAGCTGTGCCCAGGATCCAACTATTCTCTGCCATGCAGAACTCTCTACCTGTGACATGTTGTCATTGTTCCATGTGGACTCCCAGCTTTGGGACAAGTGACAGAAACCTACTTAATTGGCTTAAGCAAAACACGGAGATTCTTGTCTTAACCAAACTCAAATATGTAGAGGTAGATTTGGTGTCAGGCAGGGCTGGATCCAGATATTTAAATAGTTTGGTCAGGCTCTGGTGTGTGTCTTAGCTCTGTTCTCCTCAGTTGACTTCTTTGTTCTCAAGTGTGTTCTTCCAAGCGTTACAAAAGGTGGTCCCCAGTCCCTCTAAGGTTACCCGTGGCAGTATAGAAAGAAAGCTGTTCTAATAGTTTTTGCAGAAGTCCAAAGGCTATATGTCTCGTTAACCCGATCTGGGTCACATGCCCCATGTAGCAAGAATGGGAGGAGAGGCAGTTCCCCTAAAGAAGATGAAGAGGCCAATTCTAGAAGGCAGAACACTAGATGTCCATGAGACACATTGAGATCCCAAGTGAGCCTGGGGACACAGAGGGAAGTAGACTCAGCCCATGATGCCAGTCACACGTGGCTTTCTTGGGGGTTCTGTCTAGAGGTCTCGGAGTGAGGTGGTGTGGACAGAGTTGGGGCAGGAGCTGAGTGATGTGGGGTCTGGTCATGTGGCCTGAGGAACCATGCAGGTGTTTTAACAGAGAAGTAATGGGAGCAGAACTGTGCTGTTTGTGGAGGGGCCTGGAGGAGGCCACCGTGGCCGAGACTTTGGTGGGGGCAGTGGCCTCTGGGTCTGGAAAGAAATTTAGTGGGTTTGAAAGATACTTTAGCCACGTGCTAACAGGACCTGGTGATTTGTTGGGTGTCTAGTCTCTGGGCTGCAGCTTGACCCCTGTGCAGTGAGGTCAGAGATGGGACCAGGTGGTTTCTGCGGTCCCTTCCAGCTCTGATTCTGTGGTTTGGGCTGTCTGAGCAGCAGAGTCTGGAACCTATGGTGGAGGTGCTCCTGATGTGACAGCATGGGTCCTTTGCATGCCCTGGCTCCCCAGCAAGGGTCCTCGGAGACCCGCACGAATTCTCGGTGCCACCTTTTGGTTCCTTAGCCTCGCTGCCTGCCTTCTCCAGCACTGTCTGTAGGGGTGCCCCCGCCCACCAGCTGCATGACCCGTCAGCATGCCACGCATGCCTGCCCATGGCTAGGTCTTGCCTGCCTTCCCTCCTTCTGCATGTTCCAAATGTCTGTGCCCAGCTTCCAACTTTCGGGGGGGGGGGGGTTCCAGGCTACAACTTGGCCTGAGAAGCTCAGAACAGCTTCTGGCCTGGAAAGCCCAAGACCAGAGGTCGTGGCCAGGCACAGCTACCCTCCCTCTTGAGACCCTTGTTCATTGGCGCAGAAAGCCGTCTGTTCGGCGCCCTCATCGTGTTACTGCCATCGTCATGCCCATCCTGCCCGCGGACCACGTCCCTGGCCTGCCCTGACCCCTTACCCAGCCCCTTCTGAGGGGCAGCTCTTCCCCTTGGGTTCCCAGGCTGTGCCTTGAGCCTGGTTGAGGTCCTGGCAAGTGGTCATGCCCCTTGCCCTCATCTCTCACCTTGGGTCACAGCCTGGAGGTGGAGGCAGTGACTCCAGAGAAGGTGGCCATGTCACTCCTGGGCAGACCCTCTGCCCTGCCCCAGCCATGCTCTGAGGTCCTCCACCCTCGGGTGCCTGGACTTCTCTCACTGGTGCCCCAGTTAGCCCCTCTGGAGAGGGTCAAGAGCAGGTGGGGGCAGGCACTGGAAGGCAACCTGGGATGTTGCCCAGACTAGGCCCTCAGTGTAGACCTGAGGCCCAAACCTTGCACTGAGTCCCTGTGTGACCCTGGGCAGAAAGGACTTTTCTGGGCCTCAGTTTCCTAGGCTGTAAAGTGGGAGCTTGGTTGCAGAATCTCTTATGTTCCGGTCTGAGTGTGGGGGCTACTTCTAGCCCAAAAGTGGGGTGGTGGGAGGTGGTAAGCTGGGGCCCAGGGACTCTACCCCACCTGTCTCTGAGGTGGGTTTGACTCTGACAAGCGGGGCTTCCTGGATGAGGGGCCCCTGCCCTTCCATCCTCCGGAGTGTCCTGCCCGGCCCGTGAGTACCTCTCTCCCTCCTCCCACAGTGCGCCGTGTGGCTCCTCGTTTCTCCATCCCTCCCAGCAGCCAAGAGGTGATGCCAGGTGGCAGCGTGAACCTGACTTGCGTTGCGGTGGGCGCACCTATGCCCTACGTGAAGTGGATGATGGGGGCTGAGGAGCTCACCAAGGAGGATGAGATGCCTGTTGGCCGCAACGTGCTGGAGCTCAGCAATGTCGTGCGCTCCGCCAACTACACCTGCGTGGCCATCTCCTCACTGGGCATGATCGAAGCCACAGCCCAGGTGACAGTGAAAGGTGAGTGCCATATGCATGCCTGCCGTGGTCTGCGGCCCGCCCTGTCGCACAGGGTGACAGGAGGTCCCAGCACCTGTAGCTGGTGAGGATGGCTGTTGTGGGGATGGATGAGGTCTAGGGGTCATCGCCCTCTCCTGGGGTCCTCCTGGACCTCACTGGTGGAGAGAGGAGTTTCTGTCATTCATAGTGTTAGTAATAGCAAACAGATACTGAGTTCCCGTGGGCAGATACCACACTGGTAAGCACAGAGTACTTTGTTTCATTTGTATGATGCTGGGAGGTAGGCCCTCTTCCTGTTTTACAAATGAGGGAACTGAGATGCAGGGTCACGTGGGAGGAAATGACAGAGCAGAGACTTGAACTCTTGGGGGTCTGATGCTATAGTCTGATGCTACAGTATGACCCCCTAGCCACTACATGGCACCAGACCCTCAAGTTTACCAACCCCCTGACAGGAAGGATATGGTGAAATAGTGGCCAAGGGGGCGTGGGCTCTCCACCAGCTCCCTGGGATAGGCATGCATACGCACACTTCTCCAGGCTCCCTGCCTCCATTCCTCCCTCAGAGCCGTCCTCCATTCGGCAACTGAAGTGATCTTTTGAAGATGTGAAGCAGGTTCTCACCACTCTCTTTTAAGAAAACAGCCTTCCAGTGGCTTCCCGTTGCTTTTAGGGTAAACACCGGGATCCTCGCTCCCCTCACCCAGCTCTGCTGGCACTACTCAGTTCTGCCGGGCGCTCACCCAGCCCTCACTCTGCTGGTTCTCCCCCAGTCCGGGTCTCAGCCCTGTGAGGCGCTTGTGGATGTCCCCAACTCAGCACCCCGCTGTCTGCTGTCCTTGTGTGCACCGGAGTCATGAGTATGGACGCAGTGTTTCCCACTCACCCTAGAGTATAAACTCCACAAGGGCAGGAGTGCGGCTGTGTGACCTGTGTCCTCAGCCCCAGCGCAGTGCCCAGCACTTAGTAGGCTTTTGATAATTATTTGTTAAATGGTCGGCTGTGGATCTGGGGCTTTTCTACCTTCAATTTGAGCCAAGCCACAGGTGTGTGGGGCCCAAAGCCCCAACACTTTCTAAAATCCAGACCTTTCCCTTAGGCGCATCTCTCCCCAACACCAGCCCCAGTCACGCATAGGTGCCCACAAGGAGCGCAGGCAAGCCCCAGAGGCAGACCTCAGCCTCCCAGCCTGTGTGCATGGGACCTGGTCAGGCCATGCCACCTCTGCGTCTTAGGTTGTTAGGTGAGGATCCAGTGAGTTCTCGAAGTAACGTGGGTAGACACTAGATGACCAAAGGCCCCTGGAAGCCCTGACAGGTGTGGTCACCATCCCCTGGTAGGTGCCCTTAGAGGTCACCTTGAACTTTTCAAGCTCTGCTTCAAGGTGTGTTGTGGGGGTCAACCACATTCTGGTTGGATAACATCAAAGGCAGGCTTGGCTCCTGGAGTCATGACCTCAGGCCATCCTGAGCCTCTCACTTTCTTCCCAGCTCTGCCGAAGCCTCCAATTGACCTTGTGGTGACGGAGACAACTGCCACCAGTGTCACCCTCACCTGGGACTCTGGGAACTCAGAGCCCGTGTCCTACTACGGCATCCAGTACCGTGCAGCAGGTGCAGAGGGCCCCTTCCAGGAGGTGGATGGCGTGGCCACCACCCGCTACAGCATTGGTGGCCTCAGCCCTTTCTCAGAATATGCCTTCCGCGTGCTGGCGGTGAACAGCATCGGACGAGGACCACCCAGTGAGGCAGTGCGGGCACGCACAGGGGAGCAGGCGCCCTCCAGCCCCCCGCGCCGTGTGCAGGCACGCATGCTGAGCGCCAGCACCATGCTGGTGCAGTGGGAGCCGCCCGAGGAGCCCAACGGCCTGGTGCGAGGGTACCGTGTCTACTACACTCCCGATTCCCGCCGCCCCCTGAGCGCCTGGCACAAGCACAACACAGACGCCGGGCTCCTCACCACCGTGGGCAGCCTGCTGCCTGGCATCACCTACAGCCTGCGCGTGCTGGCCTTCACTGCCGTGGGTGACGGCCCACCCAGCCCCACCATCCAGGTCAAGACGCAGCAGGGAGGTAAGTGCGGGCAGCGTGCTGGCTGGGTGGCCACAGCAGAGCTGGGGTGGGCAAGGCTGAGGCGAGGCCTCTTCCGTCAGGCCGTGGGCTTGGGGGCCTATATTCCACACACGCGTGGTCACTTGGGATGCAGGACACGGGTGCGAGGGTGTCTTCCCCTGCCCTCGAGGGGATCGGTGAGGTTCACGGCGCCTGGCGTGGGGGCGTTGCAGTGCCTGCCCAGCCGGCGGACTTCCAGGCGGAGGCAGAGTCGGACACCAGGATCCAGCTCTCGTGGCTGCTGCCCCCGCAGGAACGGATCATCAAGTATGAGCTGGTGTACTGGGCCGCGGAGGATGAAGGCCAGCAGGTGAGTGCCCAGCGGGGACAGGAAAAAGGAGGGGTGGCTCCTCCTGATCCCTTAGAGTCTGTGGTGGGCTCACCCAGGCAGGCTTTCTGGATTTTGTGGTTGTACGGACACGGCCCCCAGGGTTCTCCTTGGGGCTCTGGGGCTCACGTGGCTGATAAGGTTCCATAGTCTTTGTTGCCCCTGTGCTGGGGGCAGAGTCTGTCCTTGGGTCTGTCCGTGGGTTTCTTGGGCTCTGTGGCTTACACGGCACTGGCGGAGCCCTAAAGTTCCCCACTGGAGCCACTTGTCCCAGGTGTTCGTGGCCATGTAGTCTGTGCAGTGTCCGTGGCATGGGCTGGGCCGAGTCCCTTATATGGTCCAGGTGGCCATGTGACATGGAGCCAGCCCTGGAGCCACGGTGGGTCCGCAGGGGTCAGCTGCAGCCCGCGTTGGGGAACAGCCTCTGAGTGACCTCTGAGGTCAGAGCAGTCAGTGAGTGCTCCCTGCTCTTCCAGCACAAGGTGACCTTCGACCCCACCTCCTCCTACACTCTAGAGGACCTGAAGCCTGACACACTGTACCACTTCCAGCTGGCTGCCCGTTCCGAGATGGGGGTGGGCGTCTTCACCCCCACCATTGAGGCCCGCACAGCGCAGTCCAGTAAGTGTCTTCGGAGGCTACTGCCTGCTGTAGCTGGGAGGGACACAGACATACACACCCTTCTCCCTTGACCAGGGGGGGTGGTTAGGTCTGCCAGGCCCTGGACTGGACCCTTGTCTGGGCTCCAGGTCTGGACCCCGAGAGAGGGACAGGTAAGTTCCCACTGGTCTGCGTCCGGGCGGCTGCTGCTGCCCGCACTGCTCCCCACCCCCCACCCGCTCCCACCCCTCCCTCTCCCAGGCCACCACCCCCCCACGACCACCCAGGTAAGTTCTGTGTCTGTGACTCATCCTCTTCCCCCCCAACCCCCCCTACCCCCAGCCTGTCTGCGCTGGCCACACTGGCTGACTAGGCCATTCCCACTGGTGGGACGGCCATGCTTGCCCAGTCTCAGACACGCCCCCGCTTTGGCAGCTGTCCTCCCTTTCCATGTCCCCACATCTCATCTCCCCCATCACCTACATTCCCTGCCCCGTGCCCCCACCATGAGAAAGATGTGTGAGCTGTGTCATCACACCGGGCCAACCGCACGTAGGGACACATCTGTGAGCATGAGACTTTGTGACCGAGAGTGTCCACGTGCCTGCCTTAAGACCACGTGACCTTCCACGTGTGGGTCTGTCTGTGAGGCCATTTGTGCTACACTTTGTGGCTTTGTGTGTTACCGTGTTCCTGCCTGCGTGTGACTCCGTCTGACCGCCTGACTGTACAGCACCTGCATGTGTGTCCAACGAGTGTCTGGCGTGCCCTGTGATTGAGTGGCCATGAGGGTCTGTGTGATAATGGGGGCCACAAATGTATGGCTGGAGAGGATCATGGCATTGAGGCAGCACAGCTGCTCACCCTAGACACGGCAGCGTCTGTGAGGCGGTCCATGTGACACGGGGCTGTGTGTGAATGTGCCAGTGATGTCGGGCAGCTATGTGGGACCTGGTGTTCATGGATCCATCCTGCGAGCACCTGCTGTGCTCCTGCTGCTCCCGTGCACGGTGCGGAGCTGGCAGTGACCCTGACGTGGCCTCCCACCTGCGGGGATCCTGGTCTAGTGGGGCAGAGAGATGTTAAACCTGCAGTTACCCAAATGAGCTCTTAATTATGTTTGTGTTAAGTGCTGTGGAAGAGACAGATGATGGGATGGGAGCTTCATCTGGTCTGAAGGGCCAAAGGGGCTTCCTTGGGTGACACAGGCCTTAGGCAGAGGGTCAGCAGGTGCAAAGGCCCTAAAGTGGTCAGTGGTGAGCAGGGGGCCAGTGTGGCTGGAGCAGCCACTAGACCATGGCAGCTGGCTTCAGGTTCAGAGGACAGGTGGGAGGGCTGACTGGCTGCTGCGCAAGAGTGCACAGGACAGCCCGGCAGGATGCCTGAGGCCAGGTAGGGGGCTGTGTGGTAGTCTGTGCAAAAGGTGGCAGCTCAGATGAGGTGTTGGTGGATTGGAGAGCTGCCTGGGATGCCAGCTGGCTGGGACTTGGTGATGGATTGGGTTTTGGATGCTGAGGGAAAGGGAAGTGTCAGGCAGATTCCTTGCTTCTGAGGTATGGACCTGGGAAGAGAGTAGGAAGTGGGACCTAAGCAGGCACTACAGCCCAAGATGCCTTATGCCATGTCAGTGGTGATGTTGGGCTAGAGGTGGGGGACCCTGAGGAGGATGACCAGAGATGGCAGGAAATTAAGGAGAGGGGAGCATCTTAGAGGTTGGAAGAAGCAGACCAGATGCTTGACCAGAGCCAGAGGAACACTGGCGTGTCCACTGGGTTGAGGACTGTGAGGACTTTAGCTGGAGGGAGGGACCACTGCAGCTGGAGAGGGGGTTTTGTCTTTTAAGATAGGGTTTTGAGCATATTTAAGCATTACTAGGAAGGAGTCTGTTCAGAAAAGTCAAAAATTTGGGAAAGAGAAGGACTTTGGAAGCTCAGGAGGTTGGGGAAGGGGGCAGAGCATGGATGGGAGAGATCTGCCTTGGACAGGAGAGCGTACCTCTCTCCCCGTGGGAAGCAAGGGCGGCTCAGTGAGATTACAATTGTTGGGTGGGTTTGGTAGCAAGAGATGGAGGGAGCTGCTGGTGGGAGGCTTCAGTCTTCTCTGCAAGGTGGGAGACAGTTGTGTGCTGAGAGCTGAAGGTTAGAGCGTGGAGGAGGTTGAAAGCATGCTGTGTACAGCGGTGAATCAAGCCGGGCAGAGGACAGAGGCCACAGGCAGCATGCAGGGCCCGGGTGAGGCCACTGGGGACGTGCTCATAGGATGCCGGCCTTCCAGGGCAGGTGACCTACCTGTCCCAGGGCTGCCTGGAAGAGGGCAGAGGGGTTGGATCCATCCAGGGCTTGGCACAGGCCGGGCAAGAGCATGGGAAGAGAAGTAGGTGAGAGAGTTGAAGGGGCATGTAAGAGTGGTGAGGTGTGGGACCTCCGGGTCTAAGCTCAGTATTGAGGGCAGTAAGGATAGTAGGTCAATGGCCGAGTTGCCTGGGGGCGCTGAAGAGCCAGTACAGTGCTGGGGACCTTGAGCAGCTGAGCTGGGGGAGGGGGAAGGTCTGCAAGGGGATGTCGGAGGCCACGGTTTGGGGGATAGGGCCATTCCGAGCCTTGGCAGTATCAAGGGCACGGCCACAGCCGTGCGGGGGAGGAGAAAGCCCTGGAGATGAGGGGCTCGGGGGCTCGGGAGGGGGACTACCGAAGTCACCCAGGCAAGGGGTGGGAGCAGAACTCTGGACGGTGAGGAAACCATGCTGTGGCACTAGGCTCCTCAGTGGGAATAAGGTCTAGAAACGTCACTGGGAATAAGGGAGGCACAGCCCCGTGTCCTAACTCCAAGGAACTGGTTGAGTGCGAGCACCTCCATAGGGCACACTTTCTCCAAATCAGTCAAGGCCGTTGGCCTCTTTCCCATCTGGCCTCCAGTCTCTGTGGTTGCTTGTGGCTCCGACACCCTGTCCGAGAAGGCACAGGCCACGGCTACCTTGTGCCAGAAGAGCCACTGGGGCTGCTGGTCCTGACAAGAGCTGTGGGCACAGCAGCTAGAGTTCTCCATATGTGGTTGTGTGTGTGATGGGGGCAAGGGGTCGGGGAGTCCCGGCCCACGCTCATGTGTATCTGGCAGTTGTGTGTGTTTTGTGAGAGAAAGCATATGTGTGGGAGAGACCTTGTGTGTGTGTGAGGTGCTGTTAAAGCCGCATATGTGCGAAAGACACCATATGTGTATGTGGGACACACGGGGTGTGTGTGTGTGTGTGTGTGTGTGTGTGTGTGTGTACACAGGCAGAGCCTGTGGTCCAGAGGGAGCCAGGCTGTCTGGCAACAGCGGTGGCAGCCTGCCTAGGAGGGGCCCTGGGTTAGCCATTCTGTACTCAGGGACTAGCCGGCCTGGGTGAGTTTCCCATCCTCTGTGACTCGTCACTGTGTCCGTGACCCCCACCCTCCATCTGCCTGCTTCCCCCCATTTGTCTTCCCCAGCCCCCTCCGCCCCTCCCCAGAAGGTGACCTGTGTGAGCACGGGCTCCACCACGGTCCGGGTAAGTTGGGTCCCGCCGCCAGCCGACAGCCGCAACGGCGTTATCACCCAGTACTCGGTGGCCTACGAGGCAGTGGACGGCGAGGACCGAGGGCGGCATGTGGTGGAGAGCATCAGTCGCGAGCACTCCAGCTGGGACCTGGTGGGCCTGGAGAAGTGGACGGAGTACCGGGTGTGGGTGCGGGCACACACGGACGTGGGCCCCGGCCCGGAGAGCAGCCCGGTGCTAGTGCGCACGGACGAGGACGGTAGGCGCTGGCACCGAGGGGAGGGGCGGGGGAGGAGAGGCACCCCTCCCAGACATCACCCACCGCGCACCCCAGGGCCTCTGCCTCACACAAGCCGGGAAGGACTCCTCTTCCTGATGGGGGCTTAATAGCCCAGAGTGGGGAAACAGAGCTTGTGGGATAGCCCATGACCAAATCCCAGCCTTTGCAGCGGTCTCCAAGGCAGCTGGAGCCTTAAAAGGCTAAGATGGAAGAAGCAGTCCCACCTAAGATCTGGGAGGTGGAGACTGGGAAGACTGGTCCAAGAGACACTCAGAGTAGAACCAGCAAGACTCACTCTTGGCCAGATGTTGGCATGATATGGGTGCCAGGAGGAGATGGGACAGGTTGTGCCCACCTTAGGATGACCACAGGCCTGGTGCCTCACCACTGCCCTCCCCACCAAGTGAGATAGCTCTGGGCCCAGGGGGTCGGCAGGGCTTCCTTGTGCTAGGTGAAGGGACCCCTCCTGTGTCCTCAGCAGGGACAGACAGTCTACAAAAACTCTGTGAGGGCCTTTACTGGAGCAGTGGGGTGCAAAGGCAAGGCCCTGGAACGTGCTGTGCCCCCCCGAGCCAAGGTCCATACCACCAGGCCCGACTTTCTTCTCTTCCCGGTCCCCAGTGCCCAGTGGGCCACCGCGAAAGGTGGAGGTGGAACCGTTGAACTCCACTGCTGTGCGTGTCTCTTGGAAACTGCCCGTCCCCAGCAAGCAGCATGGCCAGATCCGCGGCTACCAGGTCACCTACGTGCGGCTGGAGAATGGCGAGCCCCGTGGCCCACCCATCATCCAGGACGTCATGCTGGCTGAGGCTCAGGTGTGTCACTGGGAGGCGGTGGGGTGGAAAGGTGGACGAGGCCAGCATGCTCTGCTGCCTCTTTGGAGCCCAGGTTTGACCCATCCCCTGCCTGCCCTCGGGACTAAGACACCGAGGTGTCCTGCCGCATTAGGCTTAGGGGGTGCTCAGACCAGAAGGTTAGGGCTGGGTTCCAGGAAACACTCTCTTCCGTCTTGCCTACGCCAGCCCAGGCCCTGCCAGCCCCATCTGCCTCGGTGACTATCCCAGCCTGGCAGCCACCTCTGTGGCTCAGATACCAGCACTAGCAGTGAGGAGCCCTCTCTGCACAGAGCCCGGCTTCCATTGTCACCCTCTGCCCGGGCTTCAGCCCCCTAAGCCCTCCTTTGTGTTTTGCAGAAAGCACATTCACTGTCAGTTAGGCTGGGATTTGAGATTTGCCTTCCCCCGCTCAACAGTGCTGGGCTGGGCAGCCATTCCTCCCACAGCCAGGGCAGGGAGAGCCCTCCTCCTGTCATCTCCCCCAACTCAGCCTTTGGCCATGGCAGAGTTCTGTGAATGGCCCAGCTGGGTGTGGCTCTACGCTTGGCCCTCAGGAGGATGGCTTGGCCCCTGGTGTTTATGCTCAAGGTCTGGGCCTGCCAGCCAGCCTCCTGTCTTCCTCTGTGCACTAATGTTCTCCAGGGGATAACAGTTTCACCCATGAGCTTAGGGTGAGGTCCCTGGGGTATTCTGAGCACTGGTTTGCTGTTCAGGTAAAGAACCTGGGATACTGGGAGGTTATGTGAATGGCCCAGAGTTTCCCAGGAAATAGGTGGCTGAGCTTGGGTAAGAAACCCAGTCTCTGGACTCTGAACGCCTAGAAAGGGCTGTAATTGTTATGGCGAGTTTCCTCCCAAAAGATTCTGCTGAAGAGTCGTAACACCTGGTGTGGTCTGCTTTCGAGGTCTCCCCATCCAGAATCAGGGTCTTGGGGAGGGGGTTCACAGTGGGCAGCACTGAGGCAGCCCTGGGGGAAGGAGCCCAGATTCCCTTCAGAGCCCACATGCCCTCCCCATCCAGCTTTTCACCCCTACCTGGGCTGGGCCCAGAAGTGCAGGTGCAGACCCCATGTTCTGCCTGCTGTACTCAGGGTGGGCTCACCCACACAGACAGATGGGGCCTTCTTGCCTCTGGCTGAGCTTAGCACTCTGAAGCCAAATTCTTCTCTGGCCAGAGGGTGCCCTCTTCCTCCTCTCATCCTGCCCAGTGCTGAGAGAGAACGGGGGTGGAGGAGGCGGACATGTGCACCCGCCTGCATTCCTGGGGCAGGTTGAGGACTCCTCCTGGAGCCTCCACAGACACACCCACCCAGAAACATCCCCGGAATGGGCTCCCTCCAGCCCCTCCCATCCTAGAGGGCCAGCGGCACAGCTGCAGCCAGTGGGGTTCTGGAGCCACCCTTTCAGGTGCCCCCTTCTGGTTCCAAGTGGTTTGAAGGGAGCTGGGCTACAGGAGGAGGGACACTGTCCATCTGGTTTCAAACATATCATGACGGGGGTAAACCCGAACTCCAGGAAAGCCAACTGAAGATGGAGGGGCCTGGTCCCCAGCCCAGCCACAGGGCCCAGCTGTCCTCCGACCACCCTGTCAGGGACACCACAGCCTGTCCGTCTTCACCCAACAGCACCATCTGCTTAGCCCAGGGTCCCCATCAGTTCTGGAAGAACCATGAGGGTCCTGCCCACCTCGAGTGTGTAGCCAGACCTGTCTCCTTTTATGTGTGTGTCCATGTCGGGTTTGTCTGTTTCTCACCCGATGTTTTTCCTCCCTCTCTGTGTCTCCTCTCACTGCCTGTGCCTGCCTCACCCTCTTCTCCTCTCTCCTTCCCACTGCTCCCTTCTGTCCTCTCTCCCTCCGTTGTGCTTCATCTGCTTTGTCTCTCCTTCTTTGCCCTCACTCTGCCTCCAACACGGGAGAGGTGCGTTGTGAAGACCTTCCTGCCCAGACCTGGCTTGGACAGTGAGAGTCTCCCCCCCCCCCCCCCCCCCCCCCCCCCCCCCCCCCACCCCCCTACCCCTGCTCCGAGACAAGGAACCTAGAGCAGAGGCGGGCCCAGCCATACCTTTGAAAGTGTCCGTGGCCAGTAGGGACCTGTTGATGGCCTCCTGCCATATTCTGTCCCATGCTCCTTGCAAGGCCTTTCCAACAGAGCTTCTCAGAACAAGAGGGACCGCAGTCAGTGGACAGAGGTTGGACCAGCACTTTAAGGGTGGTTGGGCCAGAGGACCCTCTGGTTGCTCTAGCCTGAAGATGTCATGGGCCATCTCCCTTTGCTGTGCTGGACACCAGCCAGCCTCAGTCCTCCAGTGTCCCCAGACCACAGAACAGACACCTCAGTCCCTCCACCTACATGCATCACGGCCTAAAGAAGAACGTACCAAGAAACAGCAACATTGCCAGCCCTGAACCATGCCTTGCTACCGTAATAAGATCTCAGGCACCCTCAGGAAGGAATGGGGGTCTGACTGCTCCCCCTGTGCCTGTGGGGAAGGGCCTAGACTCCAAGCTTGGCATTCACACTTCCATCATCTTGCTGGCCAGCCTGCCCCCATCTCCCAACCCCAGTGCAGCTCTCGCTATTCCTGGGACACCCTCCTGCCTGGGAAAACTGTATAATCTGTCTCCCAACTGATAGTGAAAGGAGACGCTGAATAATCATACCATGACAACAGCCGCAGGCCAGGACCTTCCTGGGCAAACCCGGATGCAGTCACCCTGCTCCCAAAGGAGTGGGTGTCTTCACCCCTGTCTGGCAGCCTCTCCCTCAGAGCACCTGTAGGTGGCGCTCTCTGGTCCCTCCCGTGCCCAGGAGCCCTCCCTCTTCAGTCTGTGTGCTTCCTAGTCTCCCTCCCCTCCTCGGCCCTGGCTTACGGCATGGGCTGGGATCTCCAGATGGGGAGTGGTTTTGGGGTGCTACCCCCATGGGCATTTCAGAGGCCCTTGCCCTCCCTCTGCCCTGCTGGGCCGGGCCCCCTCCAGCAAGAGTCCTTCACATCCTGTCTCCCTTTCTCTCCCTCCCGCGGTCAGTGGCGGCCAGAGGAGTCCGAGGACTATGTAAGTAACAGGTGTGCGAGCGCGGGCGAGACCTGGGTCAGGTTGGGCTCATGGGACACTCCCCTCCCCCGCCTTTCCCCCCAGCCTGAGCCGCCGAGATCCACAGGCCACCAGCCACCTCCAGAGAAAATTGGCGTTTAGACTCAAGCGACGAGCTGAGCAGCGATTGGCATTTCCTCTAATCCTTACTTCTCGCCTGTCGAGCAGCAATTTCGGGCCAGTGTTTGTGATCGACCAGGGCCTGGCCCCTGCTCTGGCCAGACAGGGATGGAGTTAGATCCGATCCTGATCATTAGGCCTTATTGATCCCTGGAGTGAAAAATCACCTGCTCCTGGGCCCAGGCTGGGAGGGAAACCTGGGGAGCTGGTTCCGGCATTGGTGCGTTCTGGAGCCCCAGCCCTGGGACACCCTCCAGCCGGGGCAGGAGGGTGTTTGCGAGGGGTTGGTGGTGGCTGCGGGGGCCCCACCTACCACTCAGAGCTGGAGGGACACCAGGGTTGGTGGTGACAGCTCTGTTCCCACTGCACGGTGGTCCCCTCCCCTCTTCCCACTCTCCCCGTGTGGCGTGGCTTGGCCTCCTGTGGTGTTTCTCCGCATGTCTGGAAAGGATGCCTTGGCTGGAGATGGGCATGTAGGCAGGACCTGCCAAGGCTGGGAGACACTGCCCTGGCTGACTTCTTAGGTATCACTGGGGACAATGGGGAAGTACGTTCCCCTGGGGTGGGTGTTTCCTGTCCTATTCATCTTCCTTCCCTCATCTTTCTTCCCTTCTCACAACGTATTTGCAAGGCATTCGGTAGTCACAGAGCCCACTCCTACATGTGGCCAGATGGGGTCCTGGCCGGGTCCTGCAGGGCAGCACCTTGGCCCGCTGCACCTTGCTTGTCGGTGTGGGTGTGGGTGTGGGTGTGGTGTGTGCACGCGTGCACTATGGTAGCCCTTTGCCCTCCTACAAGAGAAGCTGTAGGCTGCGTGCATGTGCGTGCCAAGAGTCATGCAAGGTGCCCTGTGCGTGCGGAGCTCTGTGCCCTGTGTGTCATGTGTACACAGACCTCCTGAGGTGTCACTCGCAGCGCAGTGGAGTGGAGGAACAGTGTAGCCCTTTGTTCTAATCTGAAAGGAAGGGTGAGCTGTCTGCTCCAGGCGTGCAGCTCCTGGGACAGGCGGGGTCCTCCTGGGCACACATCCCACCTGCCTGCCCCGCATCCAGCAGAGTCCGGCATCGCCCAGCATCCCACGCCCCGGGACCTCTGGCCCTGTGAGCCCCGGAGGCTCCCTGCTGGCGAAGGTCCTCAGGTGGCTGGCACGGGCTGGCCTCCTGGCTCCTCTGTGATGAGACTGGGCCCCTCCTCCTTCTTAGGAAACCACCATCAGCGGCCTGACCCCAGAGACCACCTACTCCGTTACTGTCGCCGCCTACACCACCAAGGGGGATGGTGCCCGCAGCAAGCCCAAAATTGTGGCGACGACCGGGGCAGGTGAGTGCTGGGTCGGGGACAGAGCCGAGGGTGGGGCGGCAGGGCGGGCAGCGCCAGAGCCCAGCGCGTGGTTGTTCAGTCCCAGGCCGGCCCACCATGATGGTCAGCGCCACGGCCATGAACACCGCGCTGCTGCAATGGCACCCTCCCAAGGAGCTGCCTGGCGAACTGCTGGGCTACCGACTGCGGTACCGCCGGGCCGACGAGGCAGAGCCCACTATCATGGATTTTGGCAAAGATGACCAGCACTTTACAGTCATCGGCCTGCACAAGGGGGCCACCTACATTTTCTGGCTTGCTGCCAAGAACCGGGCTGGCCCCGGAGAGGAATTCGAGAAGGAGATCACCACTCCTGAGGATGCACCCAGCGGCTTCCCCCAAAACCTGCGTGTGGTAGGGCTGACCACCTCTACCACGGAGCTGACCTGGGACCCCCCGGTGCTGGCGGAGAGGAACGGGCGCATCACCAACTACTCCGTGGTGTACCGTGACATCAACAGCCAGCAGGAGCTACAAAACATCACTGCTGACACCCACCTGGTACTGTCCGGCCTCAAGCCGGATACCACTTATGACATCAAGGTCCGCGCTCGTACCAGCAAAGGCGCCGGCCCACTCAGCCCCAGCATCCAGTCCCGGACCATGCCCGTGGAGCAAGGTGTGTGCCGCGGGCATGTGGCTGCGCCTGGGGAACTCTGCTCTCCTTGACCCACTGACCTCTGGCGACTGTGATCCACCAGCCTCTGCTGTGTGACCCTCCAATCTCTCATGACCATGACCACTAACCTCTAGCGAACAGGCGCCACATTCTCAGTGTGCAACCCCTGACCTCTGCTCTCCTTGACCTACTGACCTCTGCTGTGTGACTCCAATCTTTCGTGACCTTGACCCACTGATCTCTTTTGACTGCATCACCATCCTTGGGTGTGGGACACTGATCTCTTGGGGCCATGACCCACTGACTTCTAGTGAACATGCTCCACCGTGCTCTGGCGTGGGGTCACGTGCTTCTCATGACTAAATCCCACTGACATCTGGTCACTGACCAGCACCTCTGGAGATCCTGACCACGGGTCCTGTGGCATCTGCCCAGCTCAGTCCTCCCTGTGAAGAGGAGTCTGGGCTGAGAGCCGAGCTGTGGGATTTGAAGCTGGCTCGGAGTGGGGTACCTGGCCTCCGCAGCCATTCCGGACCCTCAGCCCTGGCCAGCATCTCTTCCTGGCAGGGAACCCTTCGCCCCAGCCCCCGGTTACACAGCCACGGCTGACTCCCCGCCCTTCCTTGTGTTCTACAGTGTTCGCCAAGAACTTCCGTGTGGCGGCTGCTATGAAAACTTCTGTGCTGCTCAGCTGGGAGGTCCCTGATTCCTACAAGTCCGCGGTACCCTTCAAGGTGGGTGAGGGCCACGGCCAGCCAAGCCCGGCACACTTGCCGGCCTGCCCCAGGGCGTCGCGCCAGTCCCAGGTGTGGGCGTCTGTGGCGAGGTTTCCCGATCAGGTGGATGCACACTCTGTGCCCTGTAGGCCCGCGGGGGGGGGGGGGGGGGGGGGGGCTCACCCCACAGCGCACTGCCTGTCCCTCTCCCCCGCAGATTCTGTACAACGGGCAGAGTGTGGAGGTGGACGGGCACTCCATGCGGAAGCTGATCGCAGACCTGCAGCCGAACACGGAGTACTCATTTGTGCTGATGAACCGCGGCAGCAGCGCGGGGGGCCTGCAGCACCTCGTGTCCATCCGCACGGCCCCGGACCTCCTGCCGCACAAGCCACTGCCTGCCTCCGCCTACATAGAGGACGGTCGCTTCACCCTCTCCATGCCCCACGTGCAGGACAGCACCCTCATCAGGTGTGCAGATGAAGCCGTGGGTGGGGGCGGGGCAGGGCTGGCGACGGGCACGTGGGTGACGACAGGCCTGATTCCCGCTCTGCCCGCCTAGGTGGTTCTACATCGTGGTGGTACCCATCGACCGTGTGGGCGGGAGCATGCTGGCCCCGAGATGGAGCACACCCGAGGAGCTAGAGCTGGACGAGGTGCCTGCGATGGGACGGGGCACTGGCAATGACAGCCCCATTGCTCTGCTTGGCTGTGGCCCCAGTTTCTCCCCCAAATTGGACTCAGTCTCTGGCTGCTCTGCCTGGAAGCCTGGTCCTCTCTGGGACTCTGAAGCAGCCCCCTGGGAGTTTCCCAGGAAACTGGAAGGCTTGCAGAGACTCCCTAGAGGGATTTGCTGAGGATCCCTCAGGACAGGAAGAAGCAGAGACCCCTGTACGGGTCTAGAAGTTCCTGAGCCCTGTAGACTTGGGGCAGTCCCAAGAGGCTAGAGTAGAGCCCTCGGCATGTTGGGAATCCCTTGTCCTCACAGAGGTGTGGAGCCAGCCCTCTCTGGTTAGAGTGAGGGGCAGGTTACCCAGAGGGCCTCTCCTCACTGGGTTGGCAGGGAGGAGTGGCATTGTGCCGGTGTGTGGCATTATTCCGTGAGGGCAGTGGGCCAGGCCGGGCCCAGGCCTGTTATGTGGACGGTGAGTCTCAGTCCAGGGAGAAGATGTCTGAGGCCACAGGCCCAGGGGCACGTGGTCTGAGGTCCGGCGTGACTCCTGTGCTCTGCTCTGTCAGCTTTTGGAGGCCATCGAGCAGGGGAGTGAGGAACGGCGACGTCGGCGACAGGCAGAGCGGCTGAAGCCATACGTGGCTGCTCAGGTGGACGTGCTCCCTGAGACCTTCACCCTGGGGGACAAGAAGAGCTACCGGGGCTTCTACAACCGGCCCCTGTCTCCGGACCTGAGCTATCAGTGCTTTGTGCTCGCCTCCCTGAAGGAACCCATGGACCAGGTCTGCCTGAGCCGCCTGGGCTCTCAGTACCCCGAGACTAGACTAGTCTCAAACACCATGAGATCCCAGGCCTAGGGCTGCCCCAGAGACCCCAGACCTGCACTAGGGAATCTCAAAAGACGTCAGCCCCTAGGACCCAGAAGGCCAGACCTTATCTAGCCCTAGGGACTCGGTCAGCTGGCCAGGCTCAGGTTGGCCTGTTTGGCTCCAGCCCAGCATAGCACAGCCCCAGAGTCCTTTCTCCAGGTTTGGTGGGCAGAGGGTGGGGGACCTCACACTGAGCTCACCGCCCATGCTGTTCCTCCACTGGGCCACAGAAGCGCTATGCCTCCAGCCCCTACTCCGATGAGATCGTGGTCCAGGTGACACCAGCCCAGCAGCAGGAGGAGCCTGAGATGCTGTGGGTGACAGGCCCCGTCCTGGCAGTCATCCTCATCATCCTCATTGTCATCGCCATCCTCCTGTTCAAGAGGTGAGTGCTGCACCCAGCACCCCAGGAGACAGCCACCTGCCCCTGGACTCTCAGGTCCTTCCCGGCATGGTTCGCGCAGGTACAGGGCAGCCACAGAGGCCTGCACCCGGCCCCTGGGCTCAGTGGGAGCCCACAAGAGCAGAAGCAGTGTGTGTGCACACGCATGTATGTTAGCCTAGGTGTGACGAGGAGCCACAGCTTCACAGAGGGCTGGTTCACCTGCATCCCTGGGCACGTGTGTCCATCTGTCTCTCTGTTTCGGTGGGTGTGAACATGTCTGTCTTTAAGCTTCAGGACACCGCCCTATCCTGGTCTCCTACCTTCAGCACTTCCTCTGACGCCATTCCTAGATGACTCCCTAGCCTGGCTCTCCCGCTTAGGCCTAGAGAGGTCCAGGCCCAGCTGCGGGCCCATGTACCCACAGACATTCATTTGGCACACATTTATTGAACGCCTGCTGTAACCACGGCATCCCCAGTAGTCCCAGACTCAGCGTGTCTTGAACCTTCCCCTTAACCTTCTTCCCCTGCAGTCCCTATCACGAGGGACTAGTTAGCAGTCAGAAACCTGGGGGCCAGCCTCAGCCCTCCTCTTCCCTCACTCCACCTGGTCTCCTGGGAGTTCTGTCCTAAAGATGGCTACATCTCCTCCTCCACTCCCAGTAGGCTCCCCACAAGACGGTGCATGTCCAGGCACAGCTGGGGACCTGGTAAACGGTGTTCCTCAGTGCTCTCTCTCAGCTAGTAGTAGCCACCTGCTCTTAGAGCCTCCCCTCCTACCCATCCCCCTGCCAACCTGAAAGGTACTTCCAAAGCTTCGTCACCCTCAGTTTAAAACTTTTTAGTGGCTCCTGAAGTAAAGCATGAGCTCTCTAACTTGACAGTCAAACACCTGGCCAACCCGTCTGGTCCCATTCCCAACATTGTCACGGAACTGATGTAGTTCGCTTGGCTGGCCGGGGCTGTGCCCCCTCCATTCTGCAGCTTTCCCACTTGTGCCCACCAGGCTGCTGTCATTGCATCCTTCAAGACTCCCTTCCAGGGGCTCTCAGTTGAGAGAGTTTGCCACTCTTGATCGTGGGGTTGTGAGTTTAAGCCCCATGTTGAGCATAGAGCTTACTTTAAAAAAAAAAAAAAAGAAAGACTCCCTTCCCGGCTCTGGTGCCCACAAGGCTGTCCCAGGTCCCTACTTCTGCCCCAGTGATGCTTCATTGGGCACATCACTAGGCCTGTGTTTCAGCAGCCACCACACTGCTGAGCCCATAAGGCTCGTTCACGAACATTTGTCAGTGAGCACACATCGGTTTGTATGTCTGAACATGTCTCCACATAGGAGTTCCTGTGCTCTGTGTCCCATCTCTCCCCTATCTCTGACCTGGTCCGAGGGCCTCCTTCCTGAAGAGTTCATTCCTTCCTCCCAGGGTGAATAGGGACAGGCTTTCCTGGTCCAGGGCATGGAGACTAGTGGGGGGTAGACCCTGAGGAGTGTCCTTTCCATCCCGTCTGGGTCCTGGTGTCTGTTAGGAGAGCCAACCCCCTGCCTGTGAAGGCCATATAGGTGCCGTAAACAGGTCCCTCAGTGTCTCCCCATGTCGTGAGAGGGCCTGAGTGCTTGGTGGAAACAATGACCATTCCTCTCTTCTGTCCTTGCCTGTCTTTCGGGACCTAGTAAACAAGAAAGGTAGGACTCGTTCCTTCTCTCTTCACACGCCTCCCCATTCACTCCTTATCCCTGTGCACATTTTGGGCCCAGCAGGGAGGGGCGGTGCTTTGACCGGAAGCCTCCTGGCCTATGCTTGTCTGGTCGGCTCAGCAGGCTCTGGGGTGGGCTCTGTCACTGTCTCGACTTGTACGCTGCACAGGGGATGCCCCTTCCCCAGGGCACAAGCATAGTGCAGACTTTAGTGCTTCCCCGGAGTGCACAGACTGACTCCGAGCTCACCAGAGCCTTCTACCAGCAACCAGTTCTCTAAGATTACCTGAGTGCTGCAGGAGACCCATGTGCAGAGAGCACTGGCTGCAGGGCAGGGGGACGTGTGTGTTTCTACACACTCGTTCACACTTACGCAAACACCCGTGTGCACATAGCGGGAGCAGCCCCTGGATGCTTGTCAGCAGCTAGACCCCGTGGTCTGTCTCTGACCCTGTCCCTGTAGACGGGGGAACTGAGGCCGATGAGGGAGGACTCCGCCCAGCTAGGGTGACGCCTTCCCCGTCCCTCCCCTGCTGCTCTGGACATTTACCCTGATACCGAGAGACAGACAACCGGGGCCCAGCTCTCTGTGATGTTTGTGTATCGTACGTGTCGTTTGCATGTTTACTCCTGGTGGCTCCTGCTGCCTCAGCTGTGGTGGCCTTGGGGACAGCAGCCACTGCCCAGCGGTGACCTCCCCTCTCTTGGAAGGTGCCACCAGCCTTTGCAACCCCTTTCCCCCTCGCTGCACTGGCCCTCTGTCCACTCTCCAGTCCTTCTGTGTCCCCACCCGCCCCACCCTGTGTTCTCCATGTTAAAGCTGCTCTGCCACTGGCTCCCCTGCGCTCAGAGACCCCAGGGTGGGGCAGTGGGCGGGACCAAGCCGGACACACAGGGGCTCTGCCACAGCCAACCATGCCGTCCATCTCTGTCCTCCACCTGGACCTCAGGTTCTCACCAACCATCCTTCTGCCTCTTCAGGAAGAGGACCCACTCGCCATCGTCCAAGGACGAGCAGTCAATCGGGCTGAAGGACTCCCTGCTGGCCCACTCCTCAGATCCCGTGGAGATGCGACGGCTCAACTACCAGACGCCAGGTAGGGCGGCTCCTCCAGCCCACCTGCCCCCCCAGCCTGGGCCTGCAGGTGCTGGAGTCTCTACCAAGAGACTCTAGCCTCATGCCCCCATTTCCTATCCCTGTTTCTTCTTTCTGCCCCTCTTCTTGAACCCATTCACTTCACTGAAGTGACAGAAGCTTCTATATCCAACAGCTACTCAAGCCCTGCCTTACCTTGGGTCAGGCCTCCAAATATAGGCTAAGGATCCTCACATAGCCCACATCCCAGCCACAAGGGGGCCAGCCTCTGCACCTGCACTTTGTCTCCTCTGCCCCAAAGAGGGGTGTGTTGGTAGGACATGCCCCATCAGTCATTTGGCGTAGGATAGGGTACCTAGATTTACGGTGTGAGCACAGGGACCCCACATAGGGCTTTATATCTGCCTTCCTTCTCCAGCCACTTACGCATGGCTCTCTTGTCTCCTCTTTCTAAGGTGTCACTCCCTCCCTGTGCCCCAGTAGATGCAGCTCAGACCCCTCCCCTAGAAGCTTCCCAACCTGCCCCAGCCCCCACATAGGCCTGGGGATCTCCCCTGGCTCCCAGAACCTCTCTGATTCTTCCACTATGACTCCTCTTACACTGGGCTAAAATTGCCTCAATGACAGTCCAAGCTCTGTGGGGCCATGAACTGTGTCTTGTTCATTGTCATCCCTTGTACTGTGCACACAGTGGTCTCTAATTGGGTACCTGTAAAATGGACACACAGACAACTGAGTTGAGTGAGTGAACTAACATACATACAGGGCTTGTGTATATGTGAGCTAGTTAAATCGGTGCATATTAATGTACTGCAAAACTTAATGGCTTGAAACAATAATTATGTGTTACCCCTCATAGTTTTTGTGAATTAGAAATTCAGATAAGAGTATAGCAGGAACAGCTTGTCTCTATTCCAGAATGTCTGGGCCCTCACCTGGAAAACTTGGAGTCTGAGAGCTAGAATCATTTAAAGCAAAGGTCAGCAAATAAATAAATAAAAACTTTAAAAAGGTGGGGGGCGGGGAATGGTGCGCCTGGGTGACTCAGTCAGTTAAGCGTCTGCCTTCAGCTCAGGTCATGATCTCACGGTTTGTGGGTTCGAGCCCCACATCGGGCTCTCTGCTGTCGACGCAGAGCCCACTTCAGATCCTCTGTTCCCCTTTCTCTCTGCTCCTCCCCTGCTCGTGCTCACACTGTCTCTCTCTCTCAAAGTAAATAAATACAAACTTAAAGCAAAGGTTAGCAAACTTTGGCCCATGACCAAATATGGTCCACTACCTGTTTTTGCAAATAAAGTTTTATTGGAACACAGCCACACTCATTCATTTATGAATTATGTATAGCTACGTTCATGCTACAAAGGTAAAGCTAAGCAGCATCTACTATACATCCACAAAGCCAAGAATATTTCCTGTCTGGCTTTTATGGAAAAGTTTCCTGTCCTCTGAATTCTGAAGACTCAGTGTTGGTGCAAGAGTCAGCCATGAGCCCACCTGGGGTTGTCATCTGTGACGACCACACGCGGCCTCTTTATGTGGCCTGGGCTCCCTCAACACCATGGTGACTGAGTTCCAAAGTCCTGCGTCCTGAGAGCAAGTGAACCGGGCGGCCTAGTGGGCTGTTGTGACCCAGCAGAAGCATATCTGTGAGGAATGCGTGCTCCAGGATGCCAGGGGCCTGCAGGGCAGAGAAGCCCCCTCTGAGAGGGGTTGCTGAGCCATGTGGGCGTGAGTCAGGCAAATGGGAGGGAGCTCCCTTCGTTGGAAATAGTCCTGCGGAGTCAGCATACGGACACTGGGTGTCCTGCCTCATTGGAGTTGGGGTATTGAAAGCCCACGGATGAGACTGGAGGGTACGCAGAGGTCTATCACAAAGGAACCTGAGCGCCAGGCTCAGGGGTTTGGACTGCATCATGAGAGCACCAGGGAGGCATTAGACGTTCTCAGCAGGGGAGCGACAGAGTCAGAACTGTGATTTGGAAATCTCGCTCTGGCTGCTGTGCGGAAGACAGATTGGAGGAGAGAAATGGGGAGCCTGAAAAGCCCCGGGAGTAAGTGAAAGGTGCATGAGGAGGGTGGCTGTGGGGGTGGAGGGCAGTCTTAGGAAGCGTGAAGTAGGTGGCAGGGCTCGGGCTTATGGCTGAACAATGAGGAGGGGGTTCCGGGTGGCAACTGGGCCTGTGGGTCTGGACCTCCACACCGCCGTCCGCCTGAAACCACGGACGTGGGAGGAGGTGCCAAGCGGCCTGCAGTGACCAAAGCCGGAGAACGGAAGGGGGGGCAGCCAGTAGGAGGTGAAATGTTGAGAAACGATGAATGAAGAGTAGCCAGGGAGATTAAGAAGGAGCAGCCAAGGAGGAAGGGTATGGGAAGAGTGGAGTGTCCCTGAAGCCGAGGCCGGGGATGGCTGTGTACCCAGGAGAACCACTGGCTTTGGCAGTTGGGACTGTGGAGAGAGAGAGCATGGTGGCCAAGTCCTGGGGGCAGAAGCATCTCGGTTGGTTGAGGAGCAGTGAATGGGGAATGAGCAGGTGGAGAGACCCCTTCCAGAGGCCAGGGTGTGACGGATAGGATGGACAGGGCCACAGCAGGAGAGGAGAGAGGTGTGGCTTGAAGAGGGATTTTTCTTTTAACCGATATGGAAATTGTTTACCGGTTATGATCCATCAATGCAGGAGTAAAGGGTGCTCAGCTGTGGGACAAGAACCCAGAAGCTGGCTTCAGGCCCCTGGCCCAAGTGGGAGGGGTGTGACGTAGCCCAGGGGAGCAGTGTGGCCATGCCTCCCTGCATTCAGGTCAGCAGAGGACAGGAGGCGGGTGAAGCCGGTAAAAGGGAACACGCTGCTGGGTTCTAGGCTGGTGGGCTTGGTTTTCTCCACAATGAGAGGAAAGTGGTCAGAACAGCAGGGAAGGCGTGGCCTGGGTGTGGGCACTGAGCAGATATGCCCAGGAGGACTGCCGAGCAGCTAAGAGCCCAGGGCCCTGATCCTGAGTCGCTGTGGCTGCAGAGATCTGGGAGGAAAGGAGGGATAAAGATGAAGTGTGTAGATGTGGTAAAGGCCAAGTGCAGAGGATGAGGGCGTTCAGAAGGGACTATGGAATGGGGCCGGCCATGAGCCCCCAGAGATGCGGAGCTCAAGGAAATGGGGCTGCCAGTGGGGAGAGGCATCTCTGTGGACACGGTGGTCCCTAGAGTGTTGAGAGAACCAGGAATCAGAAGGGACAGAGGGACCAGGGGCATGGCAAGTTTTCTTAGTGTTTTTTGTTTTTTTTTTTTTACTTGAGTGAACTTTTTTTTTCCTCCTATAATTTAGTCTTTATTCTGAAAAGTTTTCAGACCCACAGAATACATAGTTGTTTCCTGCACCTCCTTGTGCAGACTTACCCTGTCATTTCTGGCCATACATGCCTCATCTCTCAATATGAAAGCAGCACGCTCCCCTTTCGCCTCCCCATCTGAAAATAGCCAAGGTCAAGTTTTGATACCAGTGGGGATGAGGGTTGGTTGGATAGGATTCAGTCTTAAAAAGGGGCCCCCAAGGCTGTCCAGACCCCCGGGTGTTGGGAGCGCTCCGCTCTGGGTGGGAGATGGGTCTGTGTCCCCGGGAGGCAGCAGGGGCCCGTGGTGGGGCCTGCCCACCCCCCTCAGCCCCTCCACGTGTCCCCTGTAACCAGAGAAGGTCAATGGGCTCTCTTCTCGTGCCCCGCTATCTTTTGTGTTTTCTTTCTCTGCAGGTTCCAGTGTCCCCAGTTGCCCGAATATCTCAAGTTAGTTTTCCAAGTTCCGGGGGCTACTCTGGCTTCTGTGTGTTTCCTTCAACTTTTTCTCACCCCGTCGCCTCCACCGTCCTTCCTCAGATTCTTTCCCTTCTCTCCTCTCTTCTTCTCCCCTTCTCCACCTCTCTCCCCAGCTCCCTCCAGTCCTGTCTTCCCTACCTCTGGCCCCGGCCCTGTCTCTCTGCGTCTGTAGCCTCCAGTCCCAGTCTGACCCCCTTCTGGGTGCCTCTCCTGTCTCCACATCTCCCTCCTCATCTCTGCTTCTCTCTCTAGATTCTTCTGGGTCATTCTGCCATGTCTCTGTACTTTGCGTCCACTCCATCCACACGCTCAGTGTGGAGACGATGACGTCACCCAGTCTCCCACAGTGACTGGTGCCAGTGAGGGGCAGGAGGGCTGTGCACAAGCGGGGCCTGTGGGGCAGGTGTGCGGCTGCGCCACCCCCCAACCTGGGCTTCCAGCCCCAGCCCAGGAGGAAGGATGCCTGGCATCCCTGAGAACCCGCCGGGCAAGGCCCTGGTGCCCCCACTCAGCGCCGTGTCCCGCACACATGCCCTGCGCACATGCCCACACGTGCTCTCAGCACACACACTTCCCTCTGTCCTCTCCCACCTTCTGGCCGCCGTGTGCTCCACCATCCTGTCGCCGCATGTGCTGCCGTCTCCATGCCACCAGTGCCGAGTGCTCCATGGTCACACATGTTCACGTGTGCACATACATGGATTGGGGCTGTCTCCACCACCCCGCACAGGCCTCACGCTGACTCTGCCTTTATGTGCCTCCGCCCCCAGGTATGCGAGACCACCCGCCCATCCCCATCACTGACCTGGCAGACAACATTGAGCGCCTCAAAGCCAACGATGGCCTCAAGTTCTCCCAGGAGTATGAGGTGAGACGTCCGTACCCCCTGCCATGTGCCTGCTCCAGGCCTAGCCCTGTGCCAGCTCCTGCCCTGCCTCGGGTCCCAGCTGTGGGTGGGCGGCTCCAGGCTTCCCCAGAGTACAGATTGGAGGGATCAGTAGTGGCAAGTAGGGAATTCAGCTCTTCGGGTGCCAGGCCTGGCTGAGGCCCTTTTAAGCACCCTAAGTCTGGACACTCAGACACGTGCCCACATGCTAACAGAAGCAGACAGAGGGTCGCGCACGTGCGCGCGCGCACGCGTACACACACACACACACACACACACACACACACACACACACACACACACATACACACAGACAAGTAGTAATAGCTCATTTATCAAGAGCTTACCTCAGGCCAGACCAGACTGGGCAATTTGCATGTGCCCTCTCATCCTGTCTTCCTCGAAGTATGAAATGGTACCGTTATTATCCCATCTTGCAGATGAGGAAGCTGAAGCACAGAGAAGGGAAGTGACTTGCCCGAGGTCAAGTAGCTGATGTGTAGTGGAGCCGGCAGTCAGACCCAGGCCTGCCTGACAGCCTGTGTCCTGCTCACACACACCCTCACGTGTGTTCTCAGAGCCGCACAGGTCACAGAGTGGACAGTTGGGTGACTCGAGGCTCGCTGCTCAGGCTGCACAAACCTTCCTGCTCACAGCCCTCCACATACTCTGTTCACTCTGGTTCACTCTGTTCACTCCTAGCTGCTGGGGCCCCGACTTCAGCTTCTGGGGTCTGAGGGCTTCCAGGCAGCCCAGCTGGTCGGGGGCTGGGGGAAGGATTTGCTAGAGAAGGAGACGATAAAGGAGAGCCTCCCCTCCTCTAAGGAGCACAGACAGAGGTGTCGTTCTGCCTCGTCGGCTCCTGTCCCGCTGTTGCCCCTGCTCCTAGCACAGGCCTGGCCCAGGACTCACCCTCGATCAATGATGAATGGATAGGTGATTGATGGGTTGGCTCAGCCCAGCCGGCAAGTCTGCTCCCTCTAGTCAGACGTCCGCCCTCGGCTGTGCGTGGTACCCTGGGGTCCCAGGATTCCCCTTCTGAGGGCTGTGGGCCAGGTTTCCACAGAGGAAATTGAGCTTGGCAGGCAAATTGATGAACGTGTCTGCTGCGAGGAGAGCATACCGCCTCTACCTGTAGAGCACCCACTGCAGCCTGCTTTGCGATAAGTCCCTGCTGCAAAGGTAACAAGATTGATGAATCGTGCTCCCTGTTCTTGACCTGGCCAGGAGGGCCTTCCATAGTCTCTGCCCACACTCATCCAGTCCCGTGTCCCACACCGGCCCTTCCTTGCCACGAGACTCTGCATCTCACTGTCTAGGCTCACGGTGTTCCCCCTCGCGCCTTCTGCCCACTTCTCAAGTGTGAGCTTTCCCTCCTCCTCCAGGAAGCCTTCTCTGCCTGCCTAGACCTGCTGTGGGCTTTCCCTCAGCCCGAATCCCATAGCCCTGTCACCTTTGTCGGTCAGTCAGTCCGTCAGTCATCACGCGCTGTCGAGCACTTACCCGTGCTGAATACTGGGAACATGGATACAAATGCCTCAGGCAGCTCAACCTGTGGGGGAGACAAGCTCAGACAGATAGTCAACGTTGAATATGACAGTATACCCTAGTATTAAATATGACAGAATGTGCAGAGAAAGTAGGCTGACGGCACCGAGGCAGGCTGAGGGGTGGGGTGGGCAAGAATGTCTCAAAGAAACAGTGCCTGCTGTCGTGTGGAGAGTAGTAGGCTGGCGCCAAAACATGGCGGGCATCGTGGGCTCTGCTGGGAACTTTGGATCGTATCCTTCTGTAAAAGGGGGATAATAATAGAGCCTGCTTCATAGGAGGCTTACGTGAGGGAATACATGCAAAGTGCTTAGAACAGTGCCAGGCACACGGTGAGTTCTCACGGAGACTCAGCTGTTACGGTCATTATCATCTGTGGTGATTTGGAGCCGTGGAAGGCATTGGAGCAGGAAATGGATGATCAGATCTGCATTTTCTGAGGATTGTTCTGGCTCCAGGACAGAGTAAGTCAGAGTGGGGCAGAAGCAAAGAGGGAAATACCCGAGTCTAGGCTGCAGTGGCCTGGCTGAGGCCAGTGGCAGCGGGTGGAAGAGAGCCACGGGGGCGGGGAAGCACAAGGGCACAGTGACTGAGGGGACGAGCACAGAGGGGTTTTTGAGGATGGCTTGAGGGTTCTGGCCAGGGTTTGGGGGTGAAGGGGTGAAGGTGCCTTTGACCGAGATGGTGTTCCAGTGGCAGAGCCGGGCATAGAGGGAAGCTGATGAACTCCGCTTGGCAAGGGTTGAGATGGCAGGGCCTGGGGGACCCCCAGGTGGCTGCTGGCCACTCACTTCAGCTCGGGAGCTCGGGGAGCCCAGGCTGCAGCCGGGGTAGTGGGCAGCTCCAGATTGTGCGTGCAAGATCCCACGGGCAAAGGAGGGCCCCCCCGCAAGGTTTCAGAGTGCAAAGTCCTGGGAGTGAACCCCGGAGGAGCACTGTGCCCTGCCTGCAGGAAGGAGAGCTGGACAGGGTGGTGCGGCAGGTGCCCAGAGGCCTCAACGATGTCGGGGACTGCATGGCTGGCTACCATTGCTCTCTCTTGGTCTGTACTCATTTCATTAGTTGGGTGCGGGGCTCGAGGGACATTCCCCTGCCTCTGCCCCACCCCGACCACTCTACCAGGCAAGGGGATTTGGTGCCATGGTCAGAAGGGCCTCTGTTCATCACCTACCTGACAGGTGGTGTGGCCTAGGAGCTGGTTGTGGCCTAGGAGCAAAAGCAGCATGTGGCCACCACCTGGCAGGCTGGGTCTTGGGGGCAGTAGGGAGACCTCAGCTCTTACCCTGCTCTACCTGCCTCCTCCACTTCCTATAGTCCATTGACCCTGGACAGCAGTTCACATGGGAGAATTCAAACCTGGAGGTGAACAAGCCCAAGAACCGCTACGCAAATGTCATCGCCTACGACCACTCACGGGTCATCCTTACCTCCATCGATGGTGAGCCAAGGGCAGCGCCCCCTCCCATCCCCTTGCTCTCCTCCTTGCTGGCTGGGGTGACGTTCCATCCTATACGAGAGGCCCGTGAGTCCCAGGGGTGCACCAGGGGATGGTGGGCTGGACGGGGGGCTCTGGGATAATGCTCTCCTATGTCCCTTCGTGCCCATAGGTGTCCCAGGGAGTGACTATATCAACGCCAACTACATCGATGGCTACCGCAAACAGAATGCCTACATTGCCACACAGGGCCCACTACCTGAGACCATGGGCGATTTCTGGCGGATGGTGTGGGAACAGCGCACGGCCACTGTGGTCATGATGACACGGCTGGAGGAGAAGTCCCGGGTAGGACGGTGCAGGGGCCTGCCAGGAGGTGGGGTGGGAAACACCCAGGCACCAGGTGACTTCAGGCACCTTTTTCTGTCTCTGTCCGAAGTTCCTCAAGGAACGCACCAAGTGCTGTTGTCTTCTCGGAGTGTTCCCATGTTCCCTAGCTGCTGGGTATTCCTGGGGTATGGCGTGTTCCCTAGTCACCAGCAGGTGCCTAGGATATTAACATGTTGTACCAGATGCTGTCATTTTCCAAGAATGTTAATATGTTCCCCAGTTGCTAGCATGTTCCCGAGATGTTCACATGTTCCCCAGATGCTGGAGTGTTCCTGGGGCATTAACACATCTCCTAAGTTAATTAGTGCAAAGAGCTGCTGTTATCTGCTTTTGCACTGCAAAGCACTGACTGGAACGTAAAATTTACAGAGCTTGAAAATGGCGCATAAACCTTATGGGTAAATTTGGCAGAAAATGTGCCTGGTGTGATCTGGTCATGAATAAATAATTTTCAATTACGGCCCTCATTCTCCCAGCTCGGGTAGGGATGGCATTGTAGCACGAGAACCTGATACGGTTTGGTGAGAGGGTGGCACAATAGATCTGAGAGTTCAGGGTGGGGGGGGGGCCTTGCAGCCAAGTAAGCTAGACCTCCCACCCTTCTTTGCCCCTGGGGCCCCTGCCAGTCTGAGCCTTTGGGCAACTCTGAGCACCCTTGCACCTGCCCCGCTTGTCCCCCTGTAGGTGAAGTGCGACCAGTACTGGCCAGCCCGGGGCACCGAGACCTACGGCCTCATTCAGGTGTCCCTGCTGGACACAGTGGAGCTGGCCACATATACCGTACGCACCTTTGCACTCCACAAGGTATGGCCCTGCCCTGGTACTCGTCCCCCACCCGGGCCCCACCAGGACAGCAGTGTGAGCTAAGCGTGCTGGGGACGGGCGAGCGGGAACTCAGTGCTGGAAGCCGGGGCTTAGAGGTGTGTGAGTGCCCCGTGGCAGCCAAGGCTGTGGGTGGGATGAATGGAAAGAGCGCCTCGAGCTCCTTCACTCTGCCCCGCATGGCTTCTGAGTCCGGTGAGAGCAGCAGGTCTGGCCTCAGCATACTCGCCCTGTCACATCACCTGCCCCCACTTTTCTCCCCAGAGTGGCTCCAGTGAGAAGCGGGAGCTGCGTCAGTTCCAATTCATGGCCTGGCCAGACCACGGGGTTCCCGAGTACCCGACCCCCATCCTGGCCTTCCTGCGGCGGGTCAAGGCCTGCAACCCACTCGATGCAGGGCCCATGGTGGTGCACTGCAGGTGAGGGGGTAGAGTGCCACCAGAGGGGTGGGATGGGAGGTGGGGTGGACCTCTGCCCCAAGCCAAGCCCGTGTCCTGCAGCGCGGGCGTGGGCCGCACGGGCTGCTTCATCGTTATCGATGCCATGCTGGAGCGGATGAAGCATGAGAAGACGGTCGACATCTATGGCCATGTGACATGCATGCGATCGCAGCGGAACTATATGGTGCAGACAGAGGACCAGTATGTGTTCATCCACGAGGCGCTGCTGGAAGCCGCCACGTGCGGACACACGGAGGTGCCTGCCCGCAGCCTGTATGCCCACATCCAGAAGCTGGGCCAAGTGCCTCCCGGGGAGAGTGTGACCGCTATGGAGCTCGAGTTCAAGGTGGGCACGGGGGCCTGGACTGGGTCATGGGGATGATCTCCCCAGAAGGCCAGGCCTGACCAGCCCCTTCCTCTGTCTAGTTGCTGGCCAGCTCCAAGGCCCACACATCCCGCTTCATTAGCGCCAACCTCCCCTGCAACAAGTTCAAGAACCGCCTGGTGAACATCATGCCCTATGAATTGACCCGCGTGTGTCTGCAGCCCATCCGTGGTGTGGAAGGCTCTGACTACATCAATGCCAGCTTCTTGGATGGCTATAGGTCAGCATGCCCGTGACTGCACACCACGCCCCACGGGTGCACAGGCCTGCAGCTGGCTAGCTGGAGGCCCAGCAGAGTAGGGCCAGCCCAGAAGATCAGAGTGGGCTTCCTGGAGGAGGGGTAGTCAATCTGGGCAGGGCTTCAAGGGACCAGACAGTCTGAGGGAGACTCGAGGGGCGGCAGCCCCTCCGGCATGTCCGGTCTTGTGTCCACTGCAGACAGCAGAAGGCCTACATCGCCACGCAGGGGCCTCTGGCAGAGAGCACCGAGGACTTCTGGCGCATGTTATGGGAGCACAACTCCACCATCATCGTCATGCTGACGAGGCTTCGGGAGATGGGCAGGGTGAGCCCACCACCCTACCCCCACTCCAGGGCCCTTGCCATGCCTGGGAGCACACCGGCCACGTCTTCACCCCTCCCTCCTTTCACACCCAGACCCTCGGACCCCTTCCTCACCACCTGAGGTGCCCTGCCTCAGAGTTCTCTGAAACCCAGAGCTCTCCTCCCCGACTCCTCCCTGCCTGATCATGGGGGCTGGGTCCTTTGTCCACAGGAGAAATGCCACCAGTATTGGCCAGCAGAGCGCTCTGCTCGCTACCAGTACTTTGTTGTTGACCCAATGGCTGAGTACAACATGCCCCAGTATATCCTGCGTGAGTTCAAGGTCACAGACGCCCGGGTAAGTGTGGAGAGGGGAGCGTGTACCTTTGCGTGAAAGCATGTCTACAACATTTCCCGAGCACACGTGGGGTGGTGGCTGCCTGCATGGCGCCCTGGCTCAGGCTGCAGGAGTCTGAGGCGAGGGCGCAGGTGTGTGTGAATGCATTTCCCAGGGTGGCTTCAGGTATCTTGATTTCACGGGTACACACCCTGTGTCATTGTCCTGCCCGCCTGGCCTGGTGGGGCTGCAGCGTGGGGCACAAGTGACGTACTTGTTCCCTACCCGCCTACCCCAGGATGGGCAGTCAAGGACGATCCGGCAGTTCCAGTTCACAGACTGGCCCGAGCAGGGCGTGCCCAAGACGGGTGAGGGCTTCATTGACTTCATCGGGCAGGTGCACAAGACCAAGGAGCAGTTCGGGCAGGACGGGCCCATCACGGTGCATTGCAGGTCGGGCTGACCCCGTGGAGGGCTGGGGGAGGGGGGTGACTGTGGGCCTCGTGGGCAGGATCCCTGATCCAGTGCTGTCCCTGAGCAGTGCCGGTGTGGGCCGCACTGGGGTGTTCATCACTCTGAGCATCGTCCTGGAGCGGATGCGCTATGAGGGCGTGGTCGACATGTTCCAGACCGTGAAGACCCTACGCACACAGCGCCCGGCCATGGTGCAGACGGAGGTAGGCGGGCCCACTGGCTGGTGCACAGGCCAGGCTCCTCACGTGTACACGCCGCCAGCATTTACCGTTACCTGCTCGGCCCGAGGTGCCGGAGTAGGATGAGTGGAACACGCTTCTCATTCAGCAGCTCTGCACTGAGCACCAGCAGAGTGCCGGGTTTCCGGCAAGGGTTGGACCAGAGTCCTTATGGAGTGCACGCTCTAGGAGCAGATAAACTTGATGGAGGTGGCTGTGGGGGCTGGGGGAGCAGGTGAGTATGGGGCACCGGGGGAGAGAGATGAGCCTTCGGAGGCTCCTCCAGGCTCTCTGGACACGGCTTGGGGCAGATGTCTGGGTCTAGCACCTGCTTGTGGCCCACCAGCTACAGTGTGAGTGCCCTTGGCAGCGTGTCGGGAGTCTCCACTCATACCAGTCCCCTGTTCCGGCAGGACCAGTACCAGCTGTGCTATCGTGCGGCCCTGGAGTACCTTGGCAGCTTTGACCACTATGCAACGTAACTACCGCTCCCCTCTCCTCCGCCGCCCCTGCCTGGGGCTCCGGAGGGGACTCAGCTCCTCTGAGCCATACCGACCATCGTCTAGCCCTCCTGCACGGATGCTGTTGCTGGCAGAGCACAGCCCACTGGGGTCACAGCGTTTCAGGAACATTGCCACACCAAATGGAGAGCCCAGACCACCCCTGGGCGAATGGGTGGGCCGGCAGGCAGGTGCCGTGGCCCGTCTCTGTCCACCAGGCCCGCCCGGAGCCTGCTTCGAGCTCTCTGTTCCGCTGCTGCCGCCGCGTTTCTCATGCTTCTTTTCATGGGGTGGGGATGGGGACAAAGTCTCCTTTTTTATACGTTAAGTGGGGTAGACTGAGGGATTCTAGCCTCTTCCCTCTGATTTTCCTTTTGCAAATCCTTAACTGCAGAATGGGCCGCTGTGGGGGTTGGGGTTCAGTTTGTTTTCTTTTTTGAGTTCGTTTTGGATCTTCTTTCTGTATGAGTCTTGCTGCTGAAGGACAGAACATGCCTTCCTCTGCGTGGAGCTGGGGCCACCGGCCTAAGTGCAGGCCCAGCCGTGGGCCTGGGAGGCATCACCGGTCCAGCTGCTCTTCCGGCCGTTCAGACAAGATCCTGTTTCAGCCAAATGCAGGGAAACACAGTTCTTTTTTTGAGTTTTGTTTTGTTTTTCCTTCAGAGCCTTATTTTAGGACCCACAGACAGTGGTGGGCGGGGAAGAGATAGGAAACACTCATCCCCAGTTGTCTATTCCCGTGTGTGTGTGTAACATTCACAGCCCAGAACCACAGACGTGTCTCGGGGAGCCTGGCAAGGCGTTCCTCATCACCATCGTGTTTGCAAAGGTTAACAAAAAACACAAAGAAAAAAAAAAAAAAAAAAAAA